AAGTACGGAGGAGCAATGGAATTACCCGAACCTACTAAGGAAGCACCGTCACCGGAACAAGGGCCGCAGCTGATCCCGGTCACTAGCGATGAATACCACAATCATTGCGTCCCAACAAAAGGACTTTCAGCCTCCGAATGGTCTGAGGCGGCAAGACTCCCGCAACCACTCGTCACCGGTGACCCAGTTCACACCGCCGACACCGATGACATCGCCGGAATTTTCGACGCCGTCCTGGAGCAAGTGGTCGCCCAAGCTTTTGCAGCAGACGTGAGCGCCGCCACCGACAAAGGACCTGAAACGGAGCAGAGAGATGTAATGGTGAGGAATAAATACTATCAGATGACCGTCGGTTACCGAGAAGAGCCAGAAATTTGGCATCAATGACTCGGACACCACTCACATGTCACACTAAATAACTCCATCATGGCTGTAGTCTTCGACTCAGATGCACTACTACTTCTTAGAGGTGGCTCCCTCACAGCAACTTTAGATGACCCGCCGTGCATCGTCTGCCCCACCGTGTAACTCATTCACAAGCCCTTCCCTGACCTACCTCCTGGCTAAAAACGCGACCAACCACTTGAGAAAGTCTATTGCGACTTTATGTTTCTTAGCCAAGATGGGCTTGACGGCGAGAAGTACACACAAACCTTCATCAACGCATGCACATGCTACGTCTGGGCTGTCAACACCGACTGCCGCTCTCTTGCCTTCGAGTGCTTCATAGCTTGGATGAAGCGCGCAGAACGTCAATCAGGGCTGAAGCCGAAAAGCTTCCCGACAGATGGCGGAGCGGAGTTCTTCTTAACAGAGTTCAAGTAATTCTTTACCAGGAAGGGGATTGAGCACCTAGTGTCCTTGCCCTATGCTCACGAGCAGCAAGGAATAGCAGAACAGACAAACAGGAGCCTCACTACAATGATAAGGTCCCTGATGAAGCAGTCTGCCATCCCAATGAGGTTTTGGCCGTTTGCGATGAACCATGCTACTCAACCGCACAAAGCCAACGCCCATTAGGGTACGGCTGTCCCCGAAACGGGGCACGCGCTTATGATGATCGATGGGGGTTTATGCGGAGCACTGCATAGCCGAGTAATGATACTGCTTACTCAAAGCGCCTACCCCTCAGGGGGCCTGGTTTCCTCCTCGGATATCCTTGAAGCCCAAAAACAAAATCAGTTGCACAACTTGCTGTCTTCCTAAATCTTCGAGAACAACATCTCGCCCTACAAAGCTTGGACAAGCAAAATGGTGGACACACGTCTACTTCGGGTGTTCGGCTACATACTACAATACACGCCACACACAGCAATGACCGGAAAATTTGTTGATCGGGCTTTGTGATAACTTGAGCCTTGAAACCAATGTTAGAATAGTAGGCATAGCTAGGACTAGGAGCTTAGGGTTTAACCTAGGTATAAGGGAGAAGTCCAAGCAAGAAGGGGGTTCAACTATAGAATGAGGAGTACAAATAGGGAGAAGCATGCAGGAAGTGGTGCACCACCATACAAGACAATTATGGCCTACATTACAGCTAGGACTACATGCACTTATACAAAATATATACATATATTCTGACACACCCCCTAAGTGCATGCAGGAATAGCCATATACAGAACACCCCCTGAAGTGGTACACCCTGCAGGGTGGAACTGAAGAAGAGGCGAAGTGAAGAGGAGGAGGAGGAGGAACTGTGAGAGGAGAGGAGGTAGGAGGCGGCAGCCGAAGCTACTGGCACATGGGCGACTGGAGCAACTGACACACTGGCTACTGGAGCACGACGGCACCGGACTACTGGAGTAACTGGCTATGCCGAGCGGCTGGAGCAACTGACCCACGGGCAACTGGTGCAACGGGCTCGCTGGCTACCGGAGCACGCCGGCTCCGGACTACTGGCACTATTGGCGTCAAAGCGGCTGCCTCCGTTCAACTTCCCCCATTGCCCCACACCCCCTTATGCAACACTAGCGCCACTTCCTCAGCTCCCCACACTCCCTCGGCTCCCCCCTAGCGCCACTCCCTCTACTCCCACACATTCACCCCCCTCAGGCAGCAGCTGTAGCAGTGAGAGACGAAGGAGGAGGAGGAGCAGGGGACGGCTCACACACTCGCCACCCCCATAGCTGCACGCGCAGGAGGGAGAGCAAGGAGAAGGGGAGGGGCGGGGGGGGGGGGGGGGGGGGGGGGGGGGGGGGGAAGCAGTCCCGCGGCGCACGGGGTCAAGGGGCGGCGCGCACGTCCCTGGGGCGCCTTGACGGGCGACGGTAGGGGGCGACGCGCGGGCCCTCGGGGCGCCACGACGGGTGACGGGAGGGGGGGCAACGCGCGGGCCCAAGGGGCGCCTCGACGGGCGACAAGAAGGGGCGACGCGCGGGCCCCCGGGGCACCACGACGGGCGACGGAAGGGGCGACGCGCGGGCCCCCGGGGCGCCATGACGGGCAACGAGAGGGGAGGCGACGCGCGGGCCCCAAGGGCGCCACGACGGGCAACGGGAGGGGATAGTGCGTGGGCCCCCGGGGCGCCACGACGGGCGACGAAACCGCCGCGGGCTCCTGGGGCGCGCGGCGGGCAGGAAACCGCCACGCGCCCCGATTGCGTGGCGGGCAGAAAACCGCCACACGCCCCGGGCGCATGGCGGGTAGAAAAAATGCCGCGCACCATGGGGCGCGCGACCGACAGGACAGCAGCGGAAGCATAGTAGGCACAGAATCGATGTGCTCTAATACCATGTTGGAATAGTAGGCATAGCTAGGACTAGGAGCTTAAGGTTTAACCTAGGCATAAGAGAGAAGTCCAAGCAAGAAGGGGGTTCAATTATAGAATGTGGAGTACAAATAGGGAGAAGCATGCAGGAAGTGGTGCACCACCACACAAGACAATTATGGCCTACACTACAGCTAGGACTACATGCACTTATACAATCTATATATACATACATATATTCTGACAACCAAGGCTGTGGTTCTTCACCATAAACTCATCCTTGAGTTCTTGACGGGTTTGCTGCACGCACCTTCGACACAACGAACGTTCCACACACGAAAAATAGAAACCGCGCGACACACACAAACGACGAAATAGAAACCGGGCAAGGCACATGACTAGCGATGACTCGCTATTGACTCGACACACACACATTCGACATCACGACTCATCATTCACACAATATTATAAGCATGAAATATTTTCATGCCCTCATACCATTCCATGCACACACGTATGCACGCACACGGACAAGCCGAGTGCAAACCGTAGGTTGCACCAATAGTTACAAAGTCACGTGACTGCATCTTCTACGAGAAGCTAACTCAGCCACTGTTCAAGGAACACCGCAATGCTGACAAGGCGCTCAAAATGATTTTTGAGGGGCACCGCAGCTGGCCATATCACAAAATGAGGCTGACCTGGCTGAAGACGCAGACGCAACAGAAAACACACCATTCGACTTCTTTCCCAGCATCCTCCTTACAAGTCCATTCCAGACTCCAACCTATAGACCTGTTTCTCAATTGGATCCCGACAATACAACTTGTGAAGCCCACAATTATAACAGCACAGCACGCCGATATCCGGATGCCAAGTTACCAACAAGAAATCCCTCGCAATACACCATCCGCACCCTCCACGACAGCGACGACGAAGTTGTCGAAGTTACCAGCTTCCATGATTACGATTGCCTCGCCTACGATAAAACCAATAAAACCGGCCTCCGCGTCCTTGGGCTCGCAGTTGCAATTCGCCACACCTCACCCAAGGAGCCCACCATCGTGCGCCAGGCCCTCTCTAGGTCTAACAGTGCAAAATGGAAGGCAGCCATGGCAGCAAAAATAGCAGCACTGAAGAGCCGCGAGACTTGGAAGATGGTTCCCCAATCATCTGAGAAAGGGGGAAAGATTCTCAGTGGCAAATGGGTCTTCCAGATTAAAACGCTTGTGGATGGATCAATCGGCAAGTACAATGCGAGATGGGTGGTGCGCGGCTTCGAACAATTTTACATGGTGGATTATGACCTGACCTTCACGCCCGTCGGAAGGCACACCTCAGTCCGCGTTCTCAACTGCATCGCAGCCGTCAAACAGCGTCCGCTTCGACCGATTGATGTTGGCAGTGCATTCCTGTATGCACCGGGTCTACGCCATTACCTTCGTCAAGCAACCGCACGCCTTCGAAGAAAGTGACGGATAAAGCAAGCACCTCGTCTATGGCAGCAGTACATGCACATTGTTCTCACAGACCTCGGATTCATTCAGCTGCCGCACGATGAAGGAATGTACCAGAAGGATTCTCGCGGCAAGTTCATCCTCCTCGTCGCCTACGTCCACGACCTACTCTACACCGACGATGACACGGAGTTGCTTGACCGATTCGAAGAAGAAATCAAGGAAAAGCTCGAGGTGACGATTAATCACAACGTCATGTAGTTCCTGGGTCTCAACATTACCCAGTCTGCCACTTCCATCCACCTCTTCGCCGCCAAGTACGCGGAAACACTCGCGAAGAAATTCGCCATCGCCCTGATCAACCTCACCACCCATACAGCACTCCTCCTCCTGATCATGGACCGGACACCATGCCGCTCTCCATCGAAAATCATTGGCTCTATCAGTAGCAGCTAGGGTGTCTCCTGTTTGCCGCCGTCACGTGCCGGCCGGATCTCTCCTACGTCGCAAGCCGTCTCGCATAGTTTCTGAAGTGACCTGAAGGTGAGAATCTACTGGACCTATGCCGAGCACTCCAATACTTTATCTCCACCTCTGACGTCGGACTCACCTGCGAAGCTAACTTAACTGCTACCCTGCGACTTCACGACTACGAAGATGCGGACCATGTGGGAGGCATTGACGACAGACGCTCCCGCACAGGACTCATCTCCTGGAACTCCTAGAAGCTGGAACTCATTACTCTTTCGTCAGCCAAAGCTGAGTTCATCGCTGCCAGCGCAGATGTTCACAAAGGACTGTACCTAATGGATCTCTTGCAGGAAGCAAAGGTGACAATGAACGGGCACTTCACGTTACTTCACGGCCACCTCCCGCCGTCGACGCGCGCCCGCGCCTTGCCCACCGCCCTCCATCTCCCTAGCCACCCTTCCCTCCTCCGCCCTCCCTTATTCTCTCGTAGTCGTCCTGCCTCACCTCCTTGCATGCGCCTTCCCTCCTCTTGTGGTGTTCCTTCTTCTGCCGTTTTTGCACCACCTCCTCCTTCTCCCCTCACCCCATCCGCCACTTCAACCTCCTCCTTCTCTCCTCATTCCTTTCTCCCCTCTATGCCTCTCCTCCCTTCCTCCACCTCCTTCCCCTTCGCATCTGCCACCTGGCTACGTGTTACTGGTTGCCACTTCGTGATCGTGACCCTTCTTCCTCCCCACACTCCGCTCCTTCACCCTCCTCCTCCTCTTCTCTCTCCCTCTATTTCCCCCACCCTCTCACCTCTTCCTCCGCCTCTCTTCTCTCCCAATCTAGTGCAGCTGGTAGCTGTCCGTGTTTTGTCTCCAATCTTCTTCAACACCTTTCCTCCTCCTCTTGTTTCTCCCCTCAGATGGCGCAGCAGCAGACTACTTCGCCGCTATCCCTCCTCCACATCTTTCTCCCCTCACAAGCGCAGCAGTAGACTACTTCGCTACTATCTCTCCTCCTCTTGTTTCTCCCCTCAGCGGCGCATCAACAGCCTACTCCGCCGTTGTCCCTCCTCTTATTTCTCCCCTCAACACTTCGCCACAATCCCTCCTCGTATTTCTCCCCTCAGTGGTGCATCAGCGGACGATTTCGCCACTATCCTTCCTCTTGTTTCTCCCCTAAGCGGCGCAGCAGCAGACTACTTTGCCGTTATCCCTCCTCCTCTTATTTCTCCCCTCACCGGCGCAGCAGCAGACTACTCAGCCGTTATCCCTCCTCTTATGTCTCCCCTCAGCGGTGCAGCAACGTACTACTTTGTCGTTATCCCTCCTCTTATTTCTCCCCTCAATGGCTCAACAACTGACTACCTCGCCCCTATTCCTCCTCTTATTTCTCCCCTCAACGGCTCAGCACCTGACTACCTTGCCCCTATTCCTCCTCTTTTATCTCCCCACATCTGCTCCATTACTATCCCCTCCCCCATGTGAGGCCTATTCTTGCTCTTACTTCTCTTCCTCCCCCCCCCCCCCCCCCTTCTAGTGGGTCCACTTGAAATTTCATACTAACTTTGGAATGCTTCTGAAATTCGAAGTGTTGTTCTGTTGTGTTTTTCACACACGTTCGACTTCACAGAAAAAACTACAAAATTCGTCGCAAGCATGCGCAAATACGTCGCAAGTTTGCGACGCCTGACGTGCTGTGTTTCTTTCTTCGGTTTTGGCGGGAACCAATCAGATTTGTTCGATCTGTTCGAATGCTCCCAATGAAACAGTGCAAACTTGTCGGTTTGGTTTGAAAATTGTTTCACTCGACAAGCTCTCTTTCAAGCTGGAGACTGGTTCACTATTTTGCATTTCGGTTTTAAGCTACTCTGCTGCATATGCATATAGTACATGCCTATGATTTCGAAAGCTTGCTTTCTTGTGTTTGCAATGGCAACGAGCTTCGTTTCAAATGGGCAACGAGCTTCGTTTCAAATGGGCATTACAACATTCTCGTCCTACTTAGATATGGTACCTACATTACAAGTTCCAACATGCAATTTTTGCTAGGGTGGGTGGGTGGGAAATAAGACATTTGAAATTTCAACCGAAGACGTGGGTGGAGGCCAAATGGCCTCCACCCCTTGCTATATAGTTGGCGAAGAGCGTAGAACACTTCGCCGTTGCCATTGCTGCATTACAAGCAGCGTCGCTTTCGAAATATACATTTTTAGAAAGTGTTACACACTTTCAAAAAACTTCATATTTAGAAAGCTTGCTTTCTTGTGTTTGCAATGGCAACGAGCTTCGTTTCAAATGGGTCTTCTGAGACATGAGACAGGGTCATTCTAACGAGATGTTAAAGGTTGTTTGTGGCTTATGCGATGACATGTCGGTGGAGGTCCAATCACGCACGAAGGAGAGGCTGGCACCGATGTTGATGGTGATGCTGTATTCCCTGCTGTTGCCTTGGATGAAGTGTTGCCCCGAGTGTAGCAGAGTAATGTTGATTTATGAGAGTCGGCTGACGTGTGAGCTTCGGACACAAACTCGCAAGCAGTATAGGAGGACTCGGGTAACGGGCATTGGTGTTTTGTGTGATGATGGATGTGATGCTTGTAGGAGCCCAACCCTTGTAGCAGTCACAACCGTGCTCACATTGCGAAGAGTGCATGCATCTGTAACCGGATACGGTAAATCTGCCGGCCTTTGAGCCCTTTGTATGTGTGTGCTTTTTTTTTTTTTTTTTTTTTTTTTTTTGGATCTTCTAGACTTGAGCACCATTTCAAACTCACCACAACATTGTTCAATCAACCAACTCAAGTGTGACCACATCCGGACCGTGCAATTGAAGGCTTTCAACGCCTAAGGTGTGTGAGAAGTGTAACTAAATTGCACAACCATGAATCTACCCTACAAATGGCCCACAAGCCAAAAAGGGACCCACCGGTCCTCCTCCCCCCTGGGGAGCTCGCTGGCCAGCACCGCACAGGGCCCACCAGTCCTCCTCCCCCCTGGGGAGCTCGCTGGCCAGCAACGCACAGGACCCACCGGTCCTCTTCCCCCCTGGGGAGCTCGCTGGCCAGCACCGCACAGGACCCACCGGTCCTCCTCCCCCCTGGGGAGCTCGCTGGCCAGCACCGCACAAGACCCACCGGTCCTCCTCCCCACTGGGGATCTCGCTGGCCAGCACCGCATAGGACCCACCGGTCCTCCTCCCCCCTGGGGAGCTCGCTGGCCAGCACCGCACAGGACCCACCGGCCCTCCTCCCCCCTGGGGAGCTCGCTGGCCAGCACCGCACAGGACCCACCGGTCCTCCTCCCCCCTGGGGAGCTCGCTGGCCAGCACCGCACAGGACCCACCGGTCCTCCTCCCCCCTCGGGAGCTCGCTGGCCAGCACCGCACAGGACCCACCGGTCCTCCTCCCCCCTGGGGAGCTCGCTGGCCAGCACCGCACGGGAGCGCATGGGGTTGTGCCAATTGTTTGCCGCAGTCTTTCTTCGCCGATGGTCTCTCATGGCGACCCAAAGCTATGGTAGTTGCCTCGCACCGATTTACTGCGATAAGAGGTAATAAATAACACGAGAGAAAAACGAAGACAAACAAAAATCGAAGATACGTACGAAGAAAAGGTGGAAACATATGCAAGGTAATAAGTTATCCGCTGACAATGTCAGCAGCAGGAGAGCATATGTCATGCCAGTTGGTCTCTGGAGATTTCGCCAACCTGCTGGTGCCGACTGCCGCTGGACGAGCCCCTGGTAATTGCACGCCACTGGCGATGTCGTAGCCACGTGCGCCAGTGGCGATTTTGACCATTTCGGCGCCATGAGCGCCACTGGCGCCACTTGCGCCGCTGGCAATTTTTACGCCACGTGCGCCACTGGCGATTTCGCCACGCGCGCCTGTGGCGTTTTCGTCGCCACACGCGCCTGTGGCTTTTTTGTCGCCACACGCGCCTGTGGCGATTTCGTCGCCACGAGCACCTGTGGCGATTGCTTCGCCACGCGCGCCTGTGGCGGTTTCGTCGCCACGCGCGCCTGTGGCGATTTCGTCGCCACGCGCGCTTGTGGCGATTTCGTCGCCACGTGCGCCAGTGGCGTTGTCGCTTTATTAGCCCCAACAAGCGCGCCTATTGTGCGGATGGGTGCCTATTTCTGAAACACGTTGTGCCATGTCAATTGAGTTGATGCCTACTATTTTATGGGAGAAGTGAGAAACTGAGGAAAACGGGAAGCACCAAGTCGTCAGACGAGAATGAAATAAGACATTTGAAATTTCAAACGAAGACGTGGGTGGAGGCCAAATGGCCTCCACCCCTTGCTATATAGTTGGCGAAGAGTGTAGAACACTTCGCCGTTGCCATTGCTGCATTACAAGCAGCGTCGCTTTCGAAATATAAATTTTTAGAAAGTGTTACACACTTTCAAAAAACTTCATTTTAATACAAATCCAATGCATTGGACTTTTATTATGATGAGTACAGGTTAGAGCATTCTGAATTTGACAAAGTGGAGCATGTTCTAGCTTGCACACAGCATCAGGCCAGCGAGACTACGGCACTTGAAGCTAACCTGCATGCAAAGCCTGCGCAGTTTCACACAACGTTGCAATCTAAGGTTGGCACAACTTTGCAACTACTATTATAAAGCTGTGCACCGGCAAAGCCTTGCCCAATGCCCAGCCGCAAGCATGCACACACCTCCATTCAATCCACATTGAATGTCTATGACTTCCTCAGTATCACTTGATCCGCCTTTTCCCACCATCACTCTGTCACTATACCCTCTCCTTTGTGAATACATTTGTACACGCTGCACCCAAACAGACATCAATTCTCATGCAGCTCCCCTCATGCAGCCATGCGAGATACTACTCACCCTTAATCTCAACCCAAGCCCACTGCTGCTGCTGCTGCTGCTGCTGTCACCTCTGCTGCCACTGCTGCAGCCACTGCTGCCACCACTGCTGCCGCCACTGCTGCTGCCACTGCTGCCACCACTGCTGCTGCCACTGCTTCTGCAGCCACTACTGTGGCCACTGCTATAGCCACTGCTGATCGCCTCCATTACTGCTCATCCATTATGCTCGCTTCCCTCACTGCTCTCTTGCTCGTCCTTGTCCCCAGCTTCCCTGCAGTCACAGTCAACTCTTCCCTCAACCTCACCTCTCTTTCCATCATCACTCCCTGCCACCCTACCCGCCTATCCGCCTGCGAACATCATCGTACATAAGGTAACCCCCTTCTGCCGGAAAGAGAAACGCCAGTTTGGTCAGCGCAGTCAGCTGCTGCAGCCCATCATCCGTGACTGCCATCCCACCCAGAAGAAGTTTCTCAAGTCCTGTCAGCCTCCCCACATGCACCATGCCGGCATTTGTCACCTTGGTCTTCCAGAGATGGAGCTCCGCGAGATTGGTCAAGGACCCAATCCCTTCCAAGGCGCTGTCTGAGACATCTGTATGCAGGTCTAGCGTCTCCAGCTGTGGCAGCCTGTACAGGTGCTTCATGCCCTCTGCACTGAAGCCTGAGGTAGATCGCAAGTCGATGCTCTTCAGGTGGGTCATTGTGGACACATGGGTGAGCATGGCGTCTGAGAGGCCGCCGAGACTCGCCAGACTCAGATGGGTTCCTAGTGATGCTGATTTGATTCGCTGGAGGTGAGGATACAAAAGAGAATGAATGGCAAGGAGTGATGATCGAGACAACAGCAAATCATGCTTGCTCTGAAAAACAGTTCATTCAGCACTCACCTCCCATGCAGTCTTCCAATCAACTTCATTCCGGATGATTTCCATCTCAACATTCACTCAACTCCTGCAGGCTGCCAATTCCTCCATGTCACGTGGCCAATTCAACTCCTGCACCTCCCTCCTCCTCTCCTCCCTCTCCCTTGCCAACTCCGCTCTCATGTCATCCTCTTTCTTTCTAACCTCCTCAATTAGATCTTTCAAACCAGATTCCCTTCTTCTCTCAGCCATACAGAGTTGCTCTATCATAGAATCCTTGTGCCCAGCCAACGCCCACTTCACTGCTGCCAATTCTATGGCCATCTCCGCCACTCGTCTCCTCTCAGCCTTCTCCAACTCCCTCTTCCTCTCCTCCACCTGTCCTCTCAGCTCTATGAAGTTCTCTGTGTGTCTTTTCTCAGCCTCTTCCAATTGACTTTTCACAAAGTCCTTTTGCCTCCTCAAGTCTCTTCTCAATGCTGCCAATTCTTCCCTGATCTCACTCAACTCCTTTCTAGCCTCCACTTGCTCTGCCATAGCATCCTTGTGTTCAGCCAGATCCCTCTTCATAGCTGCCAGCTCCCCCTGCACTGCACCCAACTCTCCCTTTACTGCTGCCAAATCCTCCCCCCTCTCCTCCATCTGCCCTCTCACCTCACCCATCTGCGACACTCGTTTCCTCTCAGCCTCCTCAACTCCTTCCTTGTCTTTTCCAGCTACATGCCAAGCGCCCTCATTCTCATCTCCATCGCCTCTTTCAGCTCGTGTGTTCCGGCCATAATTGCCATGACAGACCCAACAGCTCCACTTACTCTCTCCATTTGGAAATTGGCGTGCTTCCTACACATGGCAGCACATGGAAACACAGGCACACGGCAACTGATGGATGGGAGTTTTTGGGGAGAGAAGATGTGAGTGGAGCATTAAGAGGATGAGGAAGTCAAGAGTAGTGGAACTGAGCTTTGAGCTTTCACCTTTACGCAGACGGAGAGCTGTGAGGGCAGCAGGAGAGCTGTGAGGGCAGCAGGAGAGCTGTGAGGGCAGCAGGAGAGCTGTGAGGGCAGCAGGAGAGCTGTGAGGGCAGCAGGAGAGCTGTGAGGGCAGCAGGAGAGCTGTGAGGGCAGCAGGAGAGCTGTGAGTGCAGCAAGAGAGCTGTGAGGGCAGCAGGAGAGCTGTGAGAGCAGCAGGAGAGCTGTGAGGGCAGCAGGAGAGATGTGAGGGCAGCAGGAGAGCTGTGAGGGCAGCTGCTGATGATAACATCCAATGATGAGAATGCATACCCCATCAAAACATTGCAACAATGCGGACATGTGAGGTTTAGGAAATACGCGGGCATATGACAGGAAGCGTCCCTGCCTGCCAATTGGTGTGATGCTGATGGCAGTGGCAAGAAGGAGGGCGAGCAGCAGCGGTGGCAGCTGCATGGCCACTGCATTCATCCGAGCCATGACTGATGGGGCGAGCCCAATGCAGGGCGTGCGCCTGCACAGTGAGGTGTAGCAGGAGGAGAGGATGAATTCAGGGAGCAGGAATAGAGGAGGGAGGGGGGTTGTGGCAGGAAAGATAGGTTCTGTACTGAGTGCACAGGACGAGACAAGCGGACAACATAGGCATGGGGCACAGACGGGTAGAGATGAGACTAGCATGCGGAATCACACACACGAAAGAACAAGCTGATAGTCAGACTGTAAGGCAGGTGGGGTAGGGGACAAGCGGCAGCTGGGGGGGATGTGGGGAAGGGGAGATGACAGTCGTGCACAGTGTGCACAGGAGCTAACGAGGAGAGGGATGGAGACAAAACGAGAATAAGAATGGTGGCGTAGAATCACGTGAACGAATGCCAAAGGCCAGTGCCTCAACTCATTCGCCGCATTCTCCACACCGCACCTGCTCTGAACAACAACCCTCGTTCACTCTCCTGTGCCGCCTTCTCCGCCACTGCTGCCGCCACCTCCCCCTTCACTACTGCCAGCTCCTCCCTCATTGTTGCCAGTTCCCCTCTCACTGTTGCAAACAGCCCTCTAAATGCCTCGCTAAGCTCATTCTCCTCCCTTTCTACAGCCATTTCCCAATCCACTCCCAACCAGTTCAGGAAGTTTTCAGCAATGCTTGAGTTCAGCACAGAGAAGATTCCGTCTGAAACGTGGATAGGGAGTGAGAAACACTGGACTAGTTAAAGGTGGAGCGAAGAGAGGTCAGTAGAGGCAGACGCAAATGGAGAGAGATGTTGAAAGCAAGAGGGAAAGGTGAGGCACTGTAGCTCCTATGGCACGTGAATGAGAATATGCGATCATCGTTCTACGAGGCAAAGGAGCACATAGCCCCATGCTCATTTGCATAGCCGCTGCGGCATGTCGTATCCACACAAGACTTCTGCGCAGAAGGAATTTCAAAACCGCTCTCTTTACCCTAATCCAGACTCACAGACTCACAGGCTAGGTCAGTTGGGGGTTAGGTCAGTTGGGGCTACGTCAGTTGGGGGCTAGGTCAGTTGGGGCTAGGTCAGTTGGGGGTTAGGTCAGTTGGGGCTAGGTCAGTTGGGGGCTAGGTCAGTTGGGGCTAGGTCAGTTGGGGGCTAGGTCAGTTGGGGCTAGGTCAGTTGGGGGCTAGGTCAGTTGGGGTGGGGGCTTTAGTTGGGGGCTAGGTTAGTTGGGGGCTAAGACACTCAGGGGCTAAGACACTCAGAGGCTGAGATACTCAGAGGCTAGGTCACTCACAGGCTAGGTCACTCACAGGCTAGGTCACTCACAGGCTAGGTCAAGCACAAGGTTGGCTCGACACAAGTAAGATTGGTCCTAGGCTACAATAGCCACAGGTGGGTCACTTCTAGCTAGGACAGACACAAGCAGGGTTAGTCATAGGCCGGGTCACTCACAACAGCCGGTCAGCCACAGGCCAGGTCAACTGCACGCGAGGTTACATACAAGCAGCGAGTAGAGTTTTGACTCGACTCGATCGACTCAGGTGGTCACTTGATTTCTTGTCACGCTGAGTCTAGTCGGCTCGACATACAATGCATCGCCCGACCCGGCTGGACATTTGTCAAGTTGGCACTCGCCTAGTTGGTGATTCGAAACAGCACACCTGACTAGTCTCTACTCGACTAGCTTGTCTCCGGCATTTACCTGTGTCAAGCAACGTGTCGTTCAACAACTGAATCTCTCATTTTCGTGGTCCAATCTCGGCCTGATCTGGTTAATAGTCGTTCCTTGTCGGCCTTGTCATTCATATTTGTCCCAGCCCTTATCTCGGCCTTGTCGTTCCTACCTCGACTCGCGAGTTAACTCGGGTCGGTCAGAGCCGAGTCGACTCAGAGTAGACTTGAGTCGCCCTGTGCACATGTCCAGGTCAGTCACAGGCTAGGTGAGGCAAGTTCGGTCAGTAACGGCAAGACCATTCACGGGCTGGGTCAGTCACCGCCTAGGTTGGTCACACGCTGCGGTGGGTCACAGGGCAGGTCGGCTAGAGCCCGGATAAGTGAGAGCGTGGGTGTATCAACGATGGCGAGGAAAAGCAGCACGGGAAGGGCCCGGGACAACAACGCTGAGTGGGACAAGACTGCGTCAAGGGGCTCTGCTAGTTCATAGGTTGTCCAGACCTCGTAGCGACTCGGTATGTAACCTAAAGTTGCACATCCCCCCCCCCCCCCCCGCAATGCAGAGGGCTGACTGGGGGAAACTAAAAGTGGAGCTTACCTCTTTTAGGATTTCTTAGACTATCACACTTCTGCGGCCCTTGAAGTGACTTAGCAGCGGCGCGGTAATTCGATCTCTAGGAAGGTAGGCAAAGAGACGGCGGCCCGGGAAAAACCGAGGGGAAACGATGCGCGGAATATTCTACGGATGACACTGAAGGAACACGGCGCCGCCGTTGGTACTAGTTTCGTCGAGGTGGTGTGAGTAGCATTTCTTTTCACTAGGCGCTTTTTGTCACCTTTGTAATATTCCTCTACTATGTGTCCTGCCACAGTGGTGAGCACAAGCTTGTTCGTTTTAGTTTGAGGTGTACAGTACTTTTGCTGCTCCTCCAACACCTTCCCACGGCCCCACAAACCATCGCCAGTTTCCTCCTTGATGTTGCCTTGCTTCATCGAAATGATGGCGGTGTTCGCCAGCACTTTTGAAAACGAAAACGACGGGATCTGGAAGGTCAGTCACGCCTTCCTGATCCCGTCAGTTAGGGTTCGTTAAGCTCCGTCAGCCTGGTCAGCCCGTAAAATTCGTGCCGAAGCTAGGATGTCGTCCGAGCCTAAAGCAATCTGCGGTGCCTGGGCGAACGCTCTCATTTTTCTCAATTTTCGGAAGGAAACATGGCATTCGGAAATGGGGACGCGACTTCCTCCCCAGGCAAACGTCCCGTCTCATGCCATCCCGTGGCAATCCACCATTTCACCTGGACCGCCGTGATTTGGCGATGTAATTGGCTGTCGGAGGAAGGTGGGGTGTGGGGTTCCATATGCGGTTGTGAAGTTTCTCATGTCGGGGCTGGAAAGCTCGCGGGTGGCATTTCGCCCAAACCTTTTCGGAGGGCTCCGACCCCGCTTCCTGATGCCGTTGCCAGTCCAATGCCTTCCATTTTCTTCCAATCTCAAAGGTGCTGGCGAACACCGCCGATAATTCGCGAGACTCGTGCACCAGTCGCGAACTTTCGTCTTATCGCGAAACGAAACTGTCATGCAGGCGCTGTTCGCCAGCACATCTAAAAAAAGAAAGGCCATGGAATAGCCGTGGAATCACGAACCAGAGGAGGAACCTCCCGAATAGGTGTGGGGGGAATGGCCAAATCGCGAAATTTCGCGCCAGAAAGGGGAAGGGTGGCATCTGGATCAGGAACCACCCTCCCCACCTTCCAATTCCCCGTTCCCCCCCTCCACATCCTTCCAATCCCATGGCCATTCCAAGGCGATGTTTGGCAGCCAGGGGAGGGGGTTTGATGGGGGATCCAAATGGCGAGCCTCCAGGCTCGACCAGTACGAACCAGGCAAAACACTTCGGTCAGGCTAGAAAAATGTGAAAAACATGTCGAACGTAAGCCTAAAACGCGATGCGAACACCATGCTAGGTTGTAGCCCGCGCCGCATCCTCCCCCAAAACCTCCCCCATGGCGCAGAAATTCCGCCCTAGTGCCCAGGGAATCCAAATTGCACTCCCATGAGTGGCCTCACCCACTAGGGATGTAAAATGGATTCCCTCTACCACGAAATTGTTTTATGATTTTACCCCACACTCTAAACTGATGGGTAAAATGGAAATCGGACATGTATCCCTAATCCAGTTGTACTCAATAAGGTCAAATGGGTGAGTACGACATTTAGGGCATCCATTTTAATTTATGGTGTTAATTTTTTTCGAGAAGTGATATACCCAATCCCATCGCAACAGTAAAATGAGGCAGGGAGAAGAAAAGCTGTCCAGCTCGCGAAGTTTCGTTTCGTGCAGCTGCAGTTTCGTGGGCCCCCAATTCCCACGTCGCTCATCCGCGCCTTTTCCCCCAAAGGTTCCGCTTGCGCTTGGACCCCCGACTTGGAGTCAACGCTGGTTGACTCCGAGTTGACCACCCCGAACTAGAAACCCTAGCTGAGAATTTCGATCCCCCCCCATCATCCCTCGGTGGATCCCCTGTGCTGCCGAACATCGCCTAAGGCAATTCTGCTTGGGGGGGTGAATGGCGATGGAATGGCAACGGGACCAACGTTTGCCTATAGAGGAAGCTCCCGACCCATTTTCCTACCTTCACGATTCCATTCAAAATGAATGAAAAGGAGGGCGTTCGACAGGACAACATGATTCCGTTTGGTTCGGACGGAATCATAGGCTCGGCAAAAATTTCGCGGGCTGACCTGCTTGACGGACCCTAACGAACCCTAACGGACGGGATAAGGAAGACGAGACTGACCTTCCTGATCCCGTCATTTTTCTTGTTAAAAGTGCTGGCGAACAACGCCGCCGTCGCCACTTCTTTCCACCAAACACCCCAAGCGAGAAAATTCTGCTGGTAGCATTTGTCAGCCATGTTTCGTGTCTTGCACCAATACATACCTCTATGGCGTTGTTCTGAGATAGGGCGAAGTCAGGTTGTACAACCTTCTGTACGCCTACTGCGTTTAACTTTGTTTCAACACAGTGCAGAGCGGTACGAGGCGAGAACCGCTTCTCGCCTTGCTGGACCATCCTGAACCACAAAACAAGAACTGTAAACGCGTGAGAATTGTATAACCTGACTTCGCCCTAACGTGTAAAATGGTAAACCACGCAACGTTCTGGACAACTGATTGTTGTAGTAGTAAGCGTCTTGCCTTAGTAGCGTTTTGCGAAATTGCCCAATTCATGCCAGTTAGGGTTTCTGCAGCTGCGGGCTTCCTTTTTCATTCAAGTCTAACTTATTTTCCATTGTAGCGTCGATTTCGTCATGGAATCTACCGTATTGTTCATTATCTGACTTGTGAAAGTAGTAGGCAGAAGTAGTCTTAGGAGCCATAGCTAGGAAAGCCCTAGCTAGGCAAGAGAAAGTTTAGGCAAAAAGGGAGAGGTTGCACTAGCAAGAATGAGGATACAAATAGCAAACCCTAGAAGGGTTGTACTCGCTATAGAGCACCCCACTATAGGCTAGAGCATCACATTCCGACACACCCCCATAGCCAAAGTGGGGTGTAATCAGCACAGCAAGCAAAGCAGAACAAGCTCAGAATGGATCACAATGTCACCACACATTCTGAGCACAAGTTCAAGAAGCAATAGTTTAAAGTTCACAATTATGAGCAAAGCTAGTAGTAGTCGCAACGGGCAAGTGAGGAGGAGGAAGGACAGTGAGAGGAGAGGAGATAGGAGGCAACGGCTGAAGCTGCAGACACACGGGCAACAGGAGGCACACTGGCACAGCGGCTACCGGAACAACGCTCCGGACTACTGGAGTAACTGGCCTCGCGGCTAAAAGTAGCGGCAGACGAGCAACGGACCCACGGGCGACTGGCACAGATGGCTACGACTGGGCTACCGGAGCAACTTCCCGGACTATAGGTGCTGCTGGCGACACGACGGCAACCTCCGTTCAACCTCCCCCAAACAGTACCACCCCCCCTGACACACACCCCCTGCTTCACCCCTAGCTCCACTCCCCCTTCACCCCCCCTTAGTACCACTCCGACGGCTCCAACAGGTCCACCCCCCCTTAGCGGCAGCTGCAGCACAGGGAGACGGAGGAGGAGGAGGAGCAGGGAACGGCACACAGAAGCTGCACCCCCATACCCCCCACCCCCAAACCCTAATCCAGGAGAACGGGCAAAAGGAGGGGTGAGGCGCCTTCAGAAGCACGGGGGACAGCGGGGAGGACAAGGGCAGCGAAGAACGGGCCGCCCACGGGCCTGGCACAGCCTCCCGAACCGCGCGCAGGCGGCCCGAGCCGCGCGCGGGCCTGGCGCAGCCCGTACGGGCCGCGCGCAGCCTGTACGGGCCGCGCGCAGGCCACGACGGGCGACGGGGGGCGACGCGCGGGTCCCCGTCGCCCGTCGCAGCGCCTCCTGGGAGCGACGCGCCGAGTGACGGGGCAGAAACCGGTCGCGCGCCTCGGGGCGCACGGCGGGCAGAAAACCGCCGCGCGCCTCGAGGCGCACGGCGGGCTGAAAAACCCTAATTTCGACGCCGCGCACCACGGGGCGTGCGGCGGACAGGGAGTAGCAGTAGCAGCGGAAGCAGTGAGGTGGGGCCCACAGGCCAGGAGCATATCGCTCTAATACCATGTGAAAGTATTAGGCAGAAGTAGTCTTAGGAGCCATAGCTAGGAAAGCCCTAGCTAGGCAAGAGAAAGTTTAGGCAAAAAGGGAGAGGTTGCACTAGCAAGAATGAGGATACAAATAGCAAACCCTAGAAGGGTTCTACTCGCTATAAAGCACCCCACTACAGGCTAGAGCATAACATTCTGACATGACTTGCGGGAATCTTGCGGATGCCCGGAAGAAGAATAGTTGGTCGCGCTGCGGCCTCCGAGAGAATGACAATCTATAATGCCTTCACAATCTACGGAATTTTCGCCGTCATATCGGGCCTGTCTTCGCGGACCGCTGTGACCGCATTGTCAGGTACGCATTCGAAGCCATAGCAAAGGTACGCGTTGCAAAGCATTGTCACGTACGCGTCAAGGGATGGCGAGGTGCGCGTTATACGGCATGACGAGGTACGCGTTATAAGGCATGCTGACACGTTTCGAGCCACTACTATTAGTGGTCAACTTCGCCCGTTTCGAGGCATGGTGATATATAAACCCAAAACAAGTTAACATAAGATCAGCTGATAGAATCAGAAGCACAAAAAGAAAAACAATGGGATTTCTGTTTGCAACAGCTTCAGCTACCACCGAAGGGTTTCCATGCCAATCACACTCCCCCTCCCTTTCTTCGCAGCCCCACTTCCCCCACACTCCCCCCTCCCCCTCATCCTCCTCCTTCCCCATTACAGTCACAGAGCAACACTCAGCATCAATGGGGCACCACGCATCAAGCATGGGTCACCACCATCATTATCACACAACCAGCCCACACGGCAATTCTTTCAGCCAAACTCCGTCTCAATACAGTCACATCCAGTACACTCCCAACCACGGACACAGTCACGACGAACGTGACATGCTGCGTCGGGCTGAGTCGGTGCGGCAGCAGCGTGAGAGGGACAGTCAGCCCCCGCCGCTCTTCACTGCTGTGGCTGCCGCTGCTGCGTCAGGCGAATCCTTTGTCCTCGACTTCCCTCTCGGACGGGCTGCTGCTACAAATGCTGCTACAACTGCTGCCACAGCTGGTTACACAACTGCTGCTGCTACAACCGGAGCAGCCAGGCTGCAAGCCCAGGGGAGGAGGAGGAGGCAACGAACGGTGATCATCGGGCCAGTCTCCCTGCAACAGGCCGCTATAGCCGTAGGGTACCAGCTGTCTCAGAAGCGCCCGAAAGGCCCCTGCAGTATGTGGCTCAAGAGAGTTTTCTTAGTCCGAGTCAAGTCGGCCGCTGATTTTGCAGCCAGGGCCTCTCTCCCGCCCACCGCCACCGTTATTCTACATTTACAGAAGGATTTGATGCTGCCTAAAGGGGTTTTGTTCGGGAGGCAGCAGTCTTGCACGATACTCATGTTGGCAAAATGGCCCGGTTACACGCTGACGGGTGGTAACCCTATGTATCCGGTGCTGCGCGTGTGGAACACGAGTAGCGTCATGTCGCTGAACGTGAACTATCGCCTGCCTGTGACGGAGAGCAGCCCCGACTGCACCACCGTGCCCGAGCTCGGCAAGGCCGTCACCTGCCCCGCCATTTCCATCCATCGGTCCTACGGCGTGCAGATTGGCAAGGTGAGCCCCTCCCTTGTACCTGCTTTTCACTCTCCCTTCCTTGTCGTTTATCCACACCTCTGTTGATGAACGTGAATCATAAGGTGCTAGTAACGGAGGGCATTCCCGAATGCACCTCCCCGAACTTTGAATGCTTGCGTGCGGTCAGTTGAGTGTCGCTGAACATGAAATATCACGTGCCGGTGACAGAGAGCACCACTAACTGGGCATAGGAGTGGCAAAGGTGGGCAAGGGAGTGGCAGAGCTGGGCAAGGAGTGGCAGAGCTGGGCAAGGGAGTGGCAGAGCTGGGCAAGGGAGTGGCAGAGCTGTTCAAGGGAGTGGCAGAGCTGGGCAAGGAGTGGCAGAGCTAGGCAAGGGAGTGGCAGAGCTGGGCAAGGAATGGCGTGCCCCGCGACGCAGTCTTGATCCATCGATCATATGGCGTGCAGATTGACAAGGTGAGTCCCTCCATTCCATCTGCTTGTTGCGCTCCTTTCGCATGTCACTCATGATTTTATCCGTGTCTTGTTTCTTAAGCGTGTTTGTTTGTTTTGTCATGTTTGAGGCAAGCATAGAAGCGAGATGTCTCTCACACGTGCTTCCCTTCTCCACCCTCTCCCATCTCGCTTGCCAGCCTGTCTCCTCCACAGGGCACCGTCTTTGGCCCAGTTTACGTGGTGAGAAGAACAGGCACGCGCCAAGACCCACAAAAGTTCTCTTGTCTGGATTCTTCCGGTGGACGTGGTGGTGAGATGATGGAGCAGCATAAACTCTTCTCATCCCACACCCACACCCACATGTCTTCCAGCTCCTCATCTTTCCACGTGCCTCCACTCTCATCCCCATTCCCTCTCCTTCTCTTCCCCTCACAGCACCGTCTTTGGCCCAGTGGGCGTGCAATGGAGCATGGCCATGCCGCGTGCGGCTGGACTCACTAACGCTCACTGGAGTGGTTTCTCTCTCTTTTTCTCATCCCACACGTCGTCTCAAGCTCCCGCGTGCCTCCAAGCTACCCCCTTTCCCGTCTACCTCTCTCCCCCCCAGGGCAACATCTTTGGGCAAGTGGACGTGCTACGCAGCATGGACGTGCGCCTGGACTCACTCTCGGAAACCGGAGTGGCTTCCTTTATCAAGTCACCTGGGGTGATCCGAGTGGCCCTGTGTGGGTACGGGCCGGGACTTCTCAAATCCAACATTGTCATCTCCAACAATGAGGTGTACGGTGAGTGAGTGGGATGCTTCCCAGAGTCAACGGGAGTCAACCAAAGTCAATGAGATTGAAGGTCAGTGAATGGTCCTCACTGTCCCCCCTGCCCCTTAACCTCTCTCTCCCCATTGCCCCCTTATCCTCACTCTCCCCCTGCCCTCCTGCCCCATGGTCTTGCACAAAGGAGCAGTGGGCACAGCAATAACAAACAACAACATCCATGGCTATATCTTCTCATCACCATGCTCTTTCCCGCTTTTTCCCTTAACCCACCCCCCCCTCTTTCCTTGCCTGCAGGGGTGAACACCCCCATTGTGCTGCACATGGGAGCAGAGGGCATAGCAGTCGCCAGCATCTACATCCATGACCATTGTTTTTGCGGGAAGTCGGCGTGCATGACAGCAACGAATGCATGCTTACTCGCATCAACTCCAATTGATCTCGTCATTTCCCCTCCGCACCCCTCCCCTCCCCCCTCTCCTTCTTATGCCAAATCCCCCCATTTGCCCCCTCTTCTTGCTTCGCCCTCTTCCGCTCTCTTTCCGTTGCCTGCAGGGGTGAACACTCTGACTGTCTTGCACAGGGGAGCGGCGGTGGGCATCACTATGACCAACAAGTACATTCAGAACTACGTTATCGTTGGGATTTACTGCGGCGCTGCAGCGCCAATGTGCATTGCAGCGGTGACTGCATGCTCACTCGCATCAACTCCAGCCTTGTTTATTCTAACAACGGGGATCAAGTCTCGGCAAGGATTTACCACTGTCGTAGAGGCTGAACTCTCCTTTTCTGTACTCTTCCCCCCTTCTTTCCCTCGATTGCAGGGGTGAATACTCCGATCCTCTTGCACAGGGGAGCAGCTGGTGTAACCGTCAGGAACAACTACGTGCACGACTTCATATTCACTGGAATCAAGTGCGGTGCCGACGTGCATTACAGCTTTGCGTGCATGCTCAGTCGCATCAACTCCAACCTTGTGGTTTCCTCTGGAAGGAATCTCAACGTGGATCACGACTCGGCTGGGATCTACTTCTACACGCACTGGTTCAGTCCCGGGAACTCGGCGCTGTGCAATTACGTGTTAAACGGCGACCACTGCTACTATCTGGACCATTGCTCGTCGGCCGTGCTTGTCAGGGGAGGTGCGTGCGTGAATACGTATGACGGCATGAAAGTGAATAACGGCAAGCGGTGAGGAGGGATTGTGGAGATCCGTGCTGTGCAATTATATGTTCAGTTGCGCCCTTTACGGCCCCCTTTTCGTTTGCCTCAGCAGTCCCCTTTGCACAACAACTCCGGATGCTGTACTGCCCTGTAATGCCGTCCCCCCCTTCCTCCCCCGTGTTCACTGCAGGAACGTGATCGAGAACGTGGCGATGAAAGGCACACGGGGATCGCTGGGATGGACGTCGTGCTTCACAGTGACCGTCAACAACTGCCTCAAAGACCTGGGCAACTACTGGGAGGCCATGCGCGTGAAGTACTACAACAGCGCCCGCATCAACCGCGTGAGTGAGCGCAGAGCAGGAAGTGAGCATAGAGCAGGAAGTGAGCATAGAGCAGGAAGTGAGCATAGAGCAGGAAGTGAGCATAGAGCAGGAAGTGAGCATAGAGCAGGAAGTGAGCATAGAGCAGGAAGTGAGCATAGAGCAGGAAGTGAGCATAGAGCAGGAAGTGAGCATAGAGCAGGAAGTGAGCATAGAGCAGGAAGTGAGCATAGAGCAGGAAGTGAGCATAGAGCAGGAAGTGAGCATAGAGCAGGAAGTGAGCATAGAGCAGGAAGTGAGCATAGAGCAGGAAGTGAGCATAGAGCAGGAAGTGAGCATAGAGCAGGAAGTGAGCATAGAGCAGGAAGTGAGCATAGAGCAGGAAGTGAGCATAGAGCAGGAAGTGAGCATAGAGCAGGAAGTGAGCATAGAGCAGGAAGTGAGCATAGAGCAGGAAGTGAGCATAGAGCAGGAAGTGAGCATAGAGCAGGAAGTGAGCATAGAGCAGGAAGTGAGCATAGAGCAGGAAGTGAGCATAGAGCAGGAAGTGAGCATAGAGCAGGAAGTGAGCATAGAGCAGGAAGTGAGCATAGAGCAGGAAGTGAGCATAGAGCAGGAAGTGAGCATAGAGCAGGAAGTGAGCATAGAGCAGGAAGTGAGCATAGAGCAGGAAGTGAGCATAGAGCAGGAAGTGAGCATAGAGCAGGAAGTAAGCATAGAGCAGGAAGTGAGTGCCATGGCTTAGCATTCAACATGTGAGACGCCTCAAAAGTACCGAAAGGGACTACTGGGAGGCAAAAGAAGTGAAGTACTACTGCAGCGACCACATCAACCGGGTACGTGCGTGTGTGCTGCATACTACTGGGAGGCGTCCCTCTGAGTATCTGTGTGCCTGTGCATCTGGTGCCCCTGTGGTGGCGCTAAGCCTCGTGCCTCACACATAGCGACCGCGTCAACCAGGTGTGTGGGAGTAAGCCAGCAGAGGGTCAGCAGTGGGTGAGAGTGCAGCAACGGATAAGGCAAATGCGTGCAGCATCCGACTATTAATGCGAGGGGAAGCACCAAAACACGGATAGGATCACAAGGGGTGAGTGCGCGTAACACTCTGAGCAAGTGTGAAGTCGCACTCACCAAGTGGTCACTCCTCCACCCCTTGTTCCCCCCTCCAGATCATGTGTGCAATGAAAGTGATTGTGTTCTTTCCCTCATCTCCCCTTCCCTCCACCCAGCTATTGTGTTCCTTCCGTTACCTCCCACTCCCTCCACCCTCTCCTCTCTCCCATCCCTAATCCATCTCCCTCCCATATCCTCTCTCTCTCTCTCTTCCCCCCCTTCGTTATTGTCACATCCAGCTATGGCCTTGGATGAAGGACGTCTGCAAGGAAACATCGGCCAATGGCGGCGTGCCATGTAACCCGCCAGGTCAGCCAGGTGCTGACGTCATGGGAGCATGCAGCGGGCTGGGAACCGACAATCTCATCGACGTTGTCGCCGTCAACACCACCAACTATGGCCTCGACTGGAAGCACTGCGAGAATTCCACCGTCACAGAAAAGTTGAATCGGGAGATCAACATTTCACTGAGTCAGCCTCTTGCTGCGGGCTTTCGGGACTACATAGGGAATGATTTGGGGCTGGAAAGTACATCTGCAATTTTGAAGTTGCGGCCGGATTATTTGAGCTGCCCGTTGGGGCTCGCAGGACCAAGAAAGTTTTCGGAGAAGTCTTTCTATGAGGGTTACAACATCAAGATGCCAAGGGGGTTTCGGAAGGTTGTCACGATGGACATTAAGCATATTATAAATCAAGACTTGATTATCCCCTCGATTAGGGCTCAAATGATGGCAGCTGGTGATGGGGAGTATTCGTGGCTTGCCTCACCTAGAGGCTAATCAACTAAAATCGAACATCGTCACGCTTTTCATGTTACTAACTATCCCGTCTTAGGTGGGTGGATCGGGTTCGTGACTCATGTGGGTGACTTAGGTGGGTTATTCATGTGAGTGACGCGTGTGGGTCACAGGTGGGTGGCTAATCGAGCTTCACAACCATTTTTGTGCTCCGTGCTTTTGGGTTTCTTCTCCCTTGGGTCTCCCCTCTTCTTGCCTGCTAATCCGAAATCTTCTTTTCGCAGCAGCTGAGAGCGTTGGAGGTGTGGATGGAGCATGATGGCAGGGACAAGAGACCGCCAGAGCGACTCCCCATTGTGCTTGTTGCACGGACAATTGCTCCCAGGGCGTGGACGCACTGAATACCAACGCACTATCCCTCCGCATGGCCTTCCTCTCCCCTACGGCGTTGGCACGCTGACTGGCAACCTGTAGTCAGCAGCTTGTCAGTCTCAGGTCGGTCTCAGGTCAGTGTCAGGTCAGTCTCAGGTCTGTCTCAGGTCAGTGGCTGGTCAGTCTCAGGTCAGGCTTGGTTAGTCCCAGGTTAATTTGTCACCCACCTCACCAACCCCTCCCATTGGTCCCCCATCTTTTGATCACCCACTCACCTTACCACTCACCTTACCACTCACCTTACCACTCACCTTACCACTCACCTTACCACTCACCTTACCACTCACCTTACCACTCACCTTACCACTCACCTTACCACTCACCTTACCACTCACCTTACCACTCACCTTACCACTCACCTTACCACTCACCTTACCACTCACCTTACCACTCACCTTACCACTCACCTTACCACTCACCTTACCACTCACCTTACCACTCACCTTACCACTCACCTTACCACTCACCTTACCACTCACCTTACCACTCACCTTACCACTCACCTTACCACTCACCTTACCACTCACCTTACCACTCACCTTACCACTCACCTTACCACTCACCTTACCACTCACCTTACCACTCACCTTACCACTCACCTTACCACTCACCTTACCACTCACCTTACCACTCACCTTACCACTCACCTTACCACTCACCTTACCACTCACCTTACCACTCACCTTACCACTCACCTTACCACTCACCTTACCACTCACCTTACCACTCACCTTACCACTCACCTTACCACTCACCTTACCTTACCACTCACCTTACCACTCACCTTACCACTCACCTTACCACTCACCTTACCACTCACCTTACCACTCACCTTACCACTCACCTTACCACTCACCTTACCACTCACCTTACCACTCACCTTACCACTCACCTTACCACTCACCTTACCACTCACCTTACCACTCACCTTACCACTCACCTTACCACTCACCTTACCACTCACCTTACCACTCACCTTACCACTCACCTTACCACTCACCTTACCACTCACCTTACCACTCACCTTACCACTCACCTTACCACTCACCTTACCACTCACCTTACCACTCACCTTACCACTCACCTTACCACTCACCTTACCACTCACCTTACCACTCACCTTACCACTCACCTTACCACTCACCTTACCACTCACCTTACCACTCACCTTACCACTCACCTTACCACTCACCTTACCACTCACCTTACCACTCACCTTACCACTCACCTTACCACTCACCTTACCACTCACCTTACCACTCACCTTACCACACCTTACCACTCACCTTACCACTCACCTTACCACTCACCTTACCACCCACCTTACCACCCACCTTACCACCCACCTTACCACTCTCCTTACCACTCACCTTACCACCCACCTTACCACCCACCTTACCACTCACCTTACCCATCACCTTGTTACTTACCTTACCACTCACCTTAGAGCTCACCTAATCACCTTACCATTCACCTTACCACCCACCTTTCCACTCACCTTACCACTCACCTTACCACTCACCTTTCCACTCACCTTACCACTCACCTTTCCACTCACCTTACCACTCACCTTTCCACTCACCTTACCACCCACCTTACCACTCACCTTACCACTCACCTTACCACCCACCTTACCACTCACCTTACCACCCACCTTACCACTCACCTTTCCACTCACCTTTCACCTTACCATTCACCTTACCACCCACCTTTCCACTCACCTTACCACTCACCTTATCACTCACCTTATCACTCACCTTACCACTCACCTTACCACTCACCTTACCACTCACCTTACCACTCACCTTACCACTCACCTTACCACCCACCTTACCACCCACCTTACCACCCACCTTACCACTCTCCTTACCACTCACCTTACCACCCACCTTACCACCCACCTTACCACTCACCTTACCCATCACCTTGTCACTTACCTTACCACTCACCTTAGAGCTCACCTAATCACCTTACTATTCACCTTACCACCCACCTTTCCACTCACCTTACCACTCACCTTACCACTCACCTTTCCAGTCACCTTACCACTCACCTTTCCACTCACCTTACCACTCACCTTTCCACTCACCTTACCACCCACCTTACCACTCACCTTACCACTCACCTTACCACTCACCTTACCACCCACCTTACCCCTCACATTACCCCTCACCTTACCCCTCCTCACCTTACCACTCACCTTACCACTCACCTTACCACTCATCTTACCACTCACCTTACCACTCACTTTACCCCTCACCTTACTCCTCGTCCCACGCTTCTTCGTGTTGGTCCTTCCAGGGCATGTGAGCTGGTGGGAGGGCCAGTGCGCCTTTTGGCACTCTCTGCTGCAATACGCCACCTTGCCGCACCCACTGCACCTCCTCAGCTTCACTCCGTCACCCTCCGCCCTTACACACCCCGCAGCACCACACACACGCCCCCCTAAAGACAGAGGACCGGAGCCTTGTGCGTTTGAATTGGGTTTCGTGTTTGAAACGGCTCCTGCAGCAATGCTAGGAGCAGCGGGAGTGGATGCAGCAGCAGAGGAGGGTGGTGCTGTGGCAGAGTTCCTTGAAGCAGCAGCAATCCTTGGTGCAGGGCTGCTCACAGCAGCTGCAGTGAAAGCAGTAGCAACAGCAGCGGCGGCTGTGCTTGGCGCTGTAGCAGTGGTGTTATTTACAGCAGCAGAGTGGGTGGGACGGGCAGCAGGAGTGGGAGAGGCAGCAGGATGAGAAGCCACATCAGCAGCAGGGTGGGCGGGAGGCTCGGCAGGGGAGGCAGGGCGGTAGCACGGCTCCCTCAGCAGCATCTCTCCCAGACATGCCACCAGATTGACTCCCCCTGGCCATGCCTTCAAATAAGCCACCTCCTCCCCCTTCTTGCCCTTCCGCTTGCTGCAGATACTAGCAAGGGCAATGGCAGGGCCATCCTGGTGCTTCATGTCTTCACGGAATCTGGGCACGGCAGACCACTGAGACACCTGCATCACCCTCTCCGCGTGCTCGGGAGTACCATACTCCCTTGACTGGCTGCCGCTGCATGCAGGCCTGTCAGCCCCTGTACTTGCAGCAGGAAGCATTGCCACCTCGAACCACGACTGCACCTCCTCCCACACATCCCCACGATCACCCTCACCCCTCAAATGGTCCGTTGTATTAATTCAGCAGGGGTACAGACATGCAGTTCTATCCATGATAACCTCAATCCCATAAGCCCATCAACTCACCCCTCTTCCCCTCCCCTCCCCCCTGAGTGACCCTCACCCCTCCCACTCTCTCCACCCTCCCCTCCCTCTCCACTGTCCCCATTCCTCGCACTCCTCCTGCCCGCCTTGTCTTTCGCCCCATTGCTGCCCCCACCAGCCTTGGAATCCCGCTCCCCTTCAGCCCCACTTTGCGGGAGGAGAGCCGTGGAGTGATGAAGGGCAAGGGTGAGCAGGAAGAGGATGGGTACCTCCTCCACCCCTTCCTGCAGCGCGCGCACGCAGCCATACGGAGCATGCAGCCGCAGGCTGGTGAAAATGTTGCGATACTCATCCGTGTGCGGCGGGAAAACAGAGACGAAGCGGTGGACGAGGGCGGCAGCGGGGCGGAAGGCGTAGGTGGCGATGAAAGCGACAACAGTGACGTGGGAGGTGAAGATGGTGATGCAGCGGCTGCAGTCGGCACATGCCGGTCGCACGAAGAGCACACTGGCGAACTCCAGGATCAAGTCCACGTCTGCCCTGCACCGCACCATTGGACGGGTTTCAGTTTCAGCCCCGAGCGAGACACCTTTGGTGGGAGCTTTCCGGAACAGCTGCTCGTGCTGGCACATGCCCTCTGTTCCTGCGACCCTGCCTGCCATCCGCCCTGCCCAGGCCAAAACATCTGGCACTTGAGTCGTCAGGGAATTTCATAGCAGCTTCATCTCCCTCGGGCCACTCCTCCCACTCCGGAAAGCGGTTGCTTCCATCTAGAGGTGGGAGAACAACACCGAACCTGACCAGCAGGCTCGGAAGATCACGAAGCGGGTGGTGCATGAGCAGGACCTTGCCCTGCGGGCGGTCCTTGAAGCAGCTCTTGGAGGAGATGAAATCTGAGCCATAGATCCGAAGCCACTGCAAGATGCAGGCAACCCGATATGTGAGCAGCCCAAGAGTAGGGTCTGTGTTGACAGGCACGAGGCAAGACTCACGGGATCCTTTGGTACAAGAATTGAACGTGCCACCGCTGCCGGTTGATCCACTGCTACTACTGAGGGTTGGTCTGCCTCGGGCTGAGGCAGCAGCCGCCTTTGAAGCTGGACGCCCTTTCGTTGGTGCCGCTGCTGCTGCTGTCCTGAGTCCTCCTCCTCTTGCCCCTCCCCCTTTCATCCCTGTTGCCAGCCCCTGCTGTGTGAGCCTCCCCCTGGCCTCCGTGATGGCAGCATCTTCCACCATGCTGCTGCTGCTGGTGCTATTGGACCCTGCGAAGAACATGGCTCCCAGCTTGCGGTGCTCCGGCCTGGAGAGCACTGAGGCGACTGCCAGGGCGAAGTCAGTGGCACCCACGCCACTCACATACATGCCCTTGGGAATACCCTTGCCACTATTCCTGCTACCGGTGCTGCTGCTGCTGTTGCTGCTGCTGCTGCTGCTGCCGCTGCTGCTGCCACTCCTGATGCTGCTGCTGCTGCTGCTGCTGCCCCCCTCACTGCAGTGGCTGCACCGGAACTCCCTCCCGTCCCCTCCTCCATGCTCCAGAATCCAAGCCATGCCATCCACATACCTCTCCCACACACGCCCCTTCAAATGCTCCCTCCACTTCAAGTCCTTCCTATCCCTCCCGCACCTGCTAGCAACCCCTTTGACCTCTACCATATTCGCTGTCTCCTCCCCACCTCCGTGCTTCCCAGAATCAACCCCGTGTGACGCCTTCTCACCGGTCTTTCCCCCGCCTACCCCCCACGTGCTCCTTTCCCAGGCAGCTTGATTGACAGCACATGCTGCACGAAGAACCCAAACCCTTCCTGCAGATCAGCACTCTCCTTCACCCCCACCACCTGCACCAGCATGGACGCAGCATGGTCCTGCTCCTCCTGCCTGCCCGCCCCCAGCTGGGCCACCAAGGCTGGGTACACCGGATCATCAATATAAACATGAGCTTTCCATAGCGTGTCGATTCGCGGCCATCTCGCCACAAGCACGAGGAAGACAGCGAAGCTGACAGCACGGCGGTAGGCAGCCCAGCAGCTGCTGTAACGCCAGCAGCAGGACCACGCTGCGGAATCAACAGCAGCAGCAGCAGGAGGCAGAGCAGATGCAGCAGGAATGGCCAAACCTGCAGGCAGGCGGGATCTGATCCTCCCCAGGTCCATGAGCACGCCCACACGAGGCTCAGCCATCCACTCGAGCACCATCACTTCCGCACAGACGAACGGGGCAAGAGTGCACTTGCACATGAACTGCGCAAGAGGCTCCTCCTCCTCCTCTTGCTTCCCAAACGCTGGGACTTCAAAGGAATACTCCAGCACGCCCCTGTTGACCACGTCCAGGTGTGCAAGGGGGGTGGCGCGAGGCTGCTCCACGTGCAGGAGCGATTGGAAGAGGTCAAGGCTCTGCATGGTGAGAGCACGCTCTGCCCCAAGACTAACCACTTGGTTGAAGCAGCACTCGCACTCAGCCGCGTCCCACCAGCCATGCACGTCCAGGTAATGAACCATGTCCGCCTGACACAGCACTTGAGGCTTCCCCGGTGCTTCCTGAGCTCCCATTCCCCCTATCCCCCCCGCGCTCTGTGTAACCGCCTGCATGTGAGAATTCCACCGCCTCAATACCTCCTGCCGACCACGCCAAATCTCCTTCTTGAATTCCGAAAGACCCCCACCGCAGGATGAGCCACTCCCTGGTAAATCTCCGCTCGGCTTCGTGTCCTCGCCCTCCTCCTTGCCCTCCTCCTCGTCGCTGCTGGAGCCGATGTGGTCCCACTTGCTGTAATCGACTGTAGAAGTTCTAGGTGCAGCAGCAGCAGTGATTGGTGCAGCAGCACTTGTGATTGGAGCAGCAGCAGTATGTGGAGCAGCCGCAGCTTCAGCAGCTTGAGCAGCAACAACTGCAACAATTGGTGCAGCAGGAGGGAGAGCAGCAGCAGCAGCAGCAGCAGCAGCAGCAGCAGCAGCAGCAGCAGCAGCAGCAGCAGCAGCAGCAGCAGCAGCAGCAGCAGCAGCAGCAGCAGCAGCAGTAGCAGCAGCAGCAGCAGCAGCAGCAGCAGCAGCAGCAGCAGCAGCAGCAGCAGCAGCAGCAGCAGCAGCAGCAGCAGCAGTAGCAGAAGGAGGCACCTCAGCAGCAACCGCAACAGCAGGAGCAACAAGCAACAACCGGAGGCACAATCGCAACATGTGGAGCTATAGGGGCCTTCACGCTCTGATCATCCCCGTCCTTGCCCTTCCCCTCTTCACCACCAGTCACTGTCTTTACGGGAAGCACCTTGATGGTGGAACCTGGTCTCAGCTTCGCTTGCTCCACGGTGCAGTCAGGCGAGAGGTACACCACCTGACCGAGAACCATGAACCGGACTGCCTGCGTCCCACGCACCGAGTCAGTGTCCTCAGCGGCTTCCACGCCGTCGTCGCCTCCCTGCCGCGCATGACGTGCCTCGCACAGCGACGCCTCGGTTCCTGGCGGTGCCTGGGGTGCATCGCATAGAGACTCGTCCTTGGTTTCCGCCAATCGCAGCCGCGGCGGCGCCTGACGTGCATCGCACGGCAGGCAGCAATCGGGCAGGTGCAACTGGAACAGGCGGGTGAAGACCGATCGGAGAGGCTCCTCGGGAGAGACCGCGACGCGGACGTCCACGTGGGACGAGGCCGATGGTTTATTATCGCCAAAACGGTTGCCGTTGCTGCTATCATGGTTGCGGGATCTGCGTTGGATTAAGCATTCGAGAATGCGGAATCGAACCTCAAAAGCCATGGCTCCAGGTAAGGTTAAACGGACTTGCTGGCCACTAGTCTAACTTTGTCCGTCATATGTGCTTTCGCTGCTAAGGAATGTTGATAAGATGATAGGGCTATCTCATATCTCGTCTTTTACAAAGAATGAGGTGTGAACTTGAGAGCTGAACACGTCCTAATAGATGACGGGTAAGCTGTTCCGTCAAAGGCGCTCGCTGGATGAAGAGCTCAAGTCACAACCAAAATAACTGGCGGCAAAAATGATCCAAGAGGATGGATTCATTCTTTATGGCTCGAGAAGTTCGGTTCGTTCAGTTTGATTGATGGTGTACCAGATTCAATTTCGGCATCACCGTTTTGTGCGAAAACAGAAAGGAAACGCCGTTACATGCTGTTAGCCTTCGCTCACATCTCAAGGGCCTTGAAGGGGGTCATGCGAGCGTTAGCCTGCCGAAAAGCTTGCCCAGAATTCGTGGATGCTAGTTTCGTCAGTGCACCTGCCCAGCTTCCTTGTACACCTTCCCTTGCTTTTCCCACCCCACCACCCCGCACCCCCTCTCACCCATTTCCGTTTCAGAAAATGCTGGCCAGAAGAACAGGTGCTTGTGCTGCGCTACTCCCTGCAGTAACTGATATCTGTCATCAGAGATTGCTTGCTAAGAAAATGCAGGTCTCATTTACCTGCAGCACCGAAGGTACATAGTATCTATCATTAGGCCTTCCGTCAGTTTAAATGTCGTGCTCACTCATACAATTGGAACACAGCTTTTGTTGAGTAAGGAAATTACATCTCCGTCCCGCTTCATCCAGATTGCGTCTTCGAAGATCCCCAGCTATGAGCGTGGCTATGGCTGCCTCCGCTTCCCCCCCGAAACCCGCTTCTTTTCATCAACATGATGAATTTGAGGAGTTCGATCGTGCAAGTGCAGGCGTAGAATTGTTCTTGGTGCTTGTGGTGCTTATTGAGAGCGGCGACACCGCCAAGCAGCGCAAGCGGCGTTAGCGGCAGCAGTTGCGGGCGGTGGGGAGCGCGGGGAGGAGGCCGGGGAAGGAGGGTGAAAGGGGCTGCTGTTGGGCTGGCGTGCAATCGACAAGCTTGAAATCGCCAAGGTACGACGCCCTGAGGCGTGGCGATGATGCGTGTGAGGTTCAGTCAGAAGACTGGTGGAGGAGGGTTGAGGGGCGGTGGAAGAAGGGGGTTGAAGGGAGGGGGAGTGACGGAAATGGGAGTGACGGAAATGGGAGTGACGAATGGGAGTGACGGAAGGGGGAATGACGGAGGGGGAGTGACGGAAGGGGGAGTGACGGAAGGGGGAATAAAGGAAGAGGGAGTGACGGAGAGGGAGTGACGGAAAGGGGAGTGACGGAAAGGGGAGTGACGGAAAGGGGAGTGACGGAAAGGGGGGTGACGGAAAGGGGAGTGACGGAAAGGGGGGTGACGGAAAGGGGAGTGACGGAAAGGGGAGTGACGGAAAGGGGGGTGACGGAAAGGGGAGTGACGGAAAGGGGAGTGACGGAAAGGGGGGTGACGGAAAGGGGAGTGACGGAAAGGGGGTGACGGAAAGGGGAGTGACGGAAAGGGGGGTGACGGAAAGGGGTGACGGAAAGGGGAGTGACGGAAAGGGGGGTGACGGAAAGGGGAGTGACGGAAAGGGGGGTGACGGAAAGGGGAGTGACGGAAAGGGGGGTGACGGAAAGGGGAGTGACGGAAAGGGGGGTGACGGAAAGGGGAGTGACGGAAAGGGGGGTGACGGAAAGGGGAGTGACGGAAAGGGGGGTGACGGAAAGGGGAGTGACGGAAAGGGGGGTGACGGAAAGGGGGGTGACGGAAAGGGGAGTGACGGAAAGGGGGGTGACGGAAAGGGGGGTGACGGAAAGGGGAGTGACGGAAAGGGGAGTGACGGAAAGGGGGGTGATGGGGCTGGCGGAGGCTATAGAGGTCCGAGCGAGTTTTGGCGGATCCTCCCAAAGACCCTGCAACTCTCTCTTCCCACCCAGGCCCGATTCCTCCGTTACCACCCCTCCGCTCATCCCTGGCCCCTCCAGCTCCGCTCTGATTCTGCAACCTGTTACCATGCCCTCTCGCCACACTGCTTGCCAAGGCAACACCTCAGGACCATCTCGTACCCTCCTCTTACGCTCTCTCCTTACCCTTATGCACTCCCCTTTCACTTACCCCCTCCGCTCCCTTTACCCACCTCTCTCTCACCCCCTCCCCTTCGCCTTACCTCCTCCCCTCCCCCTCCCCCTACCCTCTCCCTTTCCCCTTGCCTTCTTCCCCTTCCATTACCTTTTTCCCCTCCCCTGATCCTTTCCCTCCCTGTCTCCTTACTCACTTCCCGTCCCCTCAGCCCCTCCCTCCTCTCTTCTCCTTCCCCTCACCCCTCCCCTTACCCCAATCGCCTACCACGCCACCTCTGTCATGGCTCGTCCCGCGACTCGTCCCCGGAGATGTGTGTGCGCAGGCATCCCCCCCAGTTGTGTGCTTGCATCTCCCACACCCCCACTTGTCCCCCGCATGCCAAAACCCCATGAGTTCCTAGTCGTCCTTACATTTACTTGTCTCCCGCACAAACCCTCACTGCTGCTCACTTTCCTCCATGCGATTGCTCTCTTTCCTTCTTCCCTGCTCCCTCCCCTGTACCCTCCAGCTCCGCAACTATGACTCTAGCCGACTTCTGCCTGCCCCACTGCACTCACTCGCCACTTGTCTCAGCAGCGCCAACTCCAGCACCCCCAGGAGCACCGGCTCCAGCAGCACCTCCAGCGCCAACACCTCAAGCAGCACCAGCTCCAGCAGGACCACCAGAAGGCCCAGCAGCTCGAGGAGCGCCAGCTCCAGTGGCTCCAGCAGCACCCGCTCCAGCAGCACCGCCAGCTCCAGCCCCAGCAGCACCACCAGGCCCAGCAGCTCCAGTACCTCCAGGACTAGCACCTCCGGGACCAGCGGCTCCAGAACCCCCAGCAGCTCCAACAGCAGCAGGACCTCCAGCGCCCGTAGCACCACTAGCTCTAGCAGCACGGCTCCAGCGCCGAGCAAACCACTCGCGCAGCTGCTGTGGAGAGAGTGGCTCCCGCCGGGACGAAGCACCCGAATGACCTCCAGGCTCAGCACCTCCATACTCCACACGCGCAGGCTCAGCACCCTCAGGCTCCCCACTCCCAGACTCAGCAACTGCAGGCTCAGCACCCCAAACTCAGCACCCCCAGGCTTCTAGCAATGTTTTGCACCTTTGGTCCGCTCTTTGTGTCAGCTTCTAGCATCCCACTGCTCCTTTCCCCTCCTTTCCACTCCACCCTTCCCTCGCTTTCCAGCTTCGCACCTCCTCCCTACACCCTCATCTGCCCCACTGTGCGGAACCGCGCCCCCACAGCATTGTCGCCCGTACTTTTCTTCCATAAGCCACTGTGTTGTGACTTTTGAGACCACTCAAGAGTCACCGCATCCCCACAGCATTGTCGCCCGCCCCTACCTCTTCCATAAACCACTGTCCTGCTTACCCTTGCGCCCTGCTCTCCCGTCCCCTTCCCCACCCCCCGCACCTCCACATTCCTGCCCCCGCGGATTCAACGCCTTCTGGCCCACACGGGTTCAACGCCTCCTGGGTGCAATGTTCACCAAAGCATTCGCCCTTCCCCGGCCTTATACATGGGCAAAAGACGAGTCGAGTTTTACTTGACTCGTTTTGACGAGTTTTTTGTCACACACGAGTCGAGTCGAGGAAAACTCGCCAAGTTTTTTGTGCCACAAAGCAAACTCGAAACTCGACCATTTTACCGAGTTTTTTCAACACTCGGACGAGTTCAAAGAAATCTCGTCCGAGTCAAGTAAAACTCGACTCGTTGTTAAACACCCCCCTTACCCACCACCCCACGAAACCAGTTTAGTGAAAGGAAATGCGGTGCGGATCTAGCGGCGGAATGCTAGGTGCGGGCAGATATGGCGGCGGAATGCTAGGTGCGGGCGGATCTAGCGGCGGAATGCTATGTGCGGGCGGATCTGGCGGCGGAATGCTAGGTGCGGGCGGATCTAGCGGCGGAATGCTATGTGCGTTCAGATCTGGCGGCGGAGTGCTAGGTGCGGGCGGATCTAATGGCGGAATGCTATGTGCGGGCGGATCTGGCGGCGGAATGCTAGGTGCGGCCAGATCTGGCGGCGGAATGCTAGGGGCGGCCGGATCTGGCGGCGGAATGCTAGGTGCGGGCGGATCTAGCGGCGGAATGCTAGGCGCGGGCGGATCTGGTGGCAAAATGCTCACGAGCCCCAAAAACTTGCGAGTTTTGAAAAAACTTGCTTGGTAGCCGAGTTTTTCACGAGTTTTTTCAACTCGCGAGCAAAACTCGACTCGAGCAACCGAGTTTTTTTTACAAAAAAACAAACTCGAAACTCGAGCTTTTCGAGTCCCTCGAACGAGTCGAGGAAAAACTCGACTCGTTTGCCCATATATACCTGGCCTTAATCTTCTTCATCTTCCAAACCCCCACCCTTCCCCCCAGCTCCTCAACTGCTTCTCCTACACCCACTCCCGCCCCACTCACGGATTTCTGCCCCTATGGCCCGGGCGCACTGTTCATGGGCAACCTGCAAGCTGCTGACTGCACTACAAATTCGCTTACATCTGCCCCACGAATTCCCGCCCCTACAAAACGGCTGCACTGTTCACCAAAGCATTCGCCCTTCACTGCCCCCGCTTCATCTTCCCCCCACTGCCCCTCCCCTCCTCCCCCCCCTGCCAGCTCAGCACCTGGGTGGGGGCGCACTGTTCATGGAAACCCGCAGACTGCTGACGTGACAGAGTAGTGCGAGAGGTGCAGGGCTGCTGGGTGCCCCTTGGTGGTGTTGTTGCTCACAGACAAGCTAAGGGGAGAGGTATGGTATGGCTGTGGATGGAGTAGTGAGCTGTACGATACTATAGAGTCGCTAGTGGGTCGCCTGTGAGGCCAGCCTGGGCCAGGCTGCTGGGAGCCCTGAAGCGTTTTTGTTTTTTTGTCATGGACAAGCAGCGGGAGGGAGGGAAGGATTCGTGGAGTGAGGGAGGAACGTGGGCTAATTATGGGTCACCAGTGGGTCAGTAGCAGGTCACATTCACACTTGACTCTCAGGTCACTCTCAGGTGTTTTCCCGGTGACTTGGGAGAGGAAGGCTGGAGGGGACAGGGTGAGGTTGGAGGGGCTATGGATGAGAGAGGTCGCCACTGAAGCCATGAATTGTAAGCTGCCTGGAGGTGATGCTGCCACATGCAGCCTCATTGGTGCCGGCAATGCACGCTGATGCCTGCCGCCTCATGCCTGCCGCCTCATGCCTGCCGCCTCATGCCTGCCGCCTCATGCCTGCTGCCTCATGCCTGCAGTCTCAGGCCCACCCACCAATCCACTGCAAGCTGTTTACGCCTCGCATTCTTTAGTCCTAAATTCCCTCCCCTGCTACGCCTGCCCAGGAACTGTTCAACCAGGCAGATGCTGCTGATGTTTTTTGAGTCGACTCAAAAGTCAGCTAATTTCCTCCCCTGCTACGCCTGCCCATGAACTGTTCAACCAGGCAGATGCTGCTGATGTTTTTTGAGTCGACTCAAAAGTCAGCTAATTTCCTCCCCTGTTACGCCTGCCCAGGAACTGTTCAACCAGGCAGATGCTGCTGATGTGACGAAGGTGGGCGGGAGGCAATGGTGGTGCAAGAGGCATTGGCGGCAGCCATGGCGGCGGTAGGGAGCATGGAGAGGAGGGCGGGCGGGGGGGTGAAGGGTTGGTGAAAGGGGGCTGTTGATGGGCTGGCCCCATTGATACGCTCACACTCGGCAAGCAGCGACGCTCTGAGGGGTGGAGATGCATGTGAGATTCACTCAGAAGAAGATTGGGGGAGAATGGGAGAGACGTGGGGGAGGGGGGAGGGGTCGAAGTTGAGTTGAAAGAAGGTGGGGCAAAGGGATGGTGAAGATAAGGATGGGTAAAGGAAGGCGGTTGAAAGGAAGTGGGGAGAGGGGGATTGATTGAAGTCGATGGATGAGAAAAGTTACGTGTGAGGCGACGTGTGAGAGGTTGTGAGCCGCCGCTGTGGCGTGATGATGTGGGATGCTGGGGATGATGTATGTGAGAGTCATCCGAAGGACTGGGAGGGGCCGCCGATGGGAGGGCTGCTGATGGGCCTGGCGGAGGCTGTGGAGCAATGTCTCAGGCCAGTCTCAGGTCGGTCTCAGATCATTTTCAGGTCAGTCTCAGGTCATTTTCAGGTCAGTCTCAGGTCATTTTCAGGTCAGTCTCAGGTCATTTTCAGGTCAGGTCATTTTCAGGTCATTTTCAGGTCAGTCTCAGGTCATTTTCAGGTCAGTCTCAGGTCATTTTCAGGTCAGTCTCAGGTCATTTTCAGGTCAGTCTCAGGTCATTTTCAGGTCAGTCTCAGGTCATTTTCAGGCCAGTCGCAGGTCACTTTAAGGTCAGTCTCAGGTCGCTCTCGAGTCACTCTCAGGTCACTCTCATGTCACGTCGCTCTCAGGTTTTCAGTTCCCTTTTATCTGCTTTCATGTCATCCCGTGGTATCCTCCTCCGTTCCACTTCTCTCCGATCCCTCTCCTGTGTTCCAGGGCAATGTAGAATTGAAGATGAATAGATCAGCAGTTGCAGAAGCACTTGCAGCAGCAACAACAGCAGCACAAGTAGCAGCAGCAGCAGCAGCAGCAGCAGCAGCACGGCGGGTGCCAGGGTGAGCACAAACACGCACCACCACACCAATGAACAGAGACAGCAGCAAGAGGGGTCCGACATCTGCTCGTCCTTGCCTGCTCAAAGCTTCAACCTCTCCTTTTCATAACAAGCCTCAGGCTCATCGAATCGAAACCAGCCGGTGAGCCACATTGCATTGACCAGTGGCTATGCACTCTCACTCTGCTCCTGGCTGTGGTGCCACCGCTGCCTCTTCATTCTACTCTCCCTCCTCCCCTCCTACTCCGCTCTCTTAGGACGCGGCACCTGTTTTCATTTTGCCAGGATCGATCGTGGGGGGGGATCGATGTGCCGCTTGTACAGTGTATTGGCGACATCGCCAATGCCTGGTATCCGTTTTTCGCTGAACGTCGAGAGTGTACAGTAAACGGGTACCCAAATTGGTGGCACCTGCAGCTCGCACGATCGATGTGCCGTGGTGCATGCGTTAGGGTTGGCGGGAGAGCATATCGCGCCACAGGTGACAGCCTCGATCGATCGGCGTCGCCCACGGTCGCAGGCCAAAAATTCTTGAGTCGTTGCGAATGGAATTGCTGGACGACCATCCACGCTCTGCCCTGATTGGCTGCGCGTTTAAGTGTAATGGCAGCTCCAACCTGCCCGAGCCTGCAATTTCGAACCTGGCACCTATAGCTCGATGTGTCTACCCCACTGCAAATTTGCAGTGTGGGCACATCGGTGTGCCGATCGATATGCCAGGATCGATGTGAGGCCACGATCCTTGTAAAATGAAAACAGGTGCCGCGTCCTTACTCTCCCAATCTCTCTTATGCCGCTTTCATCCTCATTTGCGTCTCCTGAAGGGTCCTAAATGGCCTCCAATGGGGATGTAGCTCAGATGGTAGAGCGCTCGCTTAGCATGCGAGAGGTGCGGGGATCGATACCCCGCATCTCCAGATTTCCGGGGACAGCTCAGTTGGGAGAGCGTCAGACTGAAGATCTGAAGGCCGCGTGTTCGATCCATGCTCACCGCACGCTTAGGGCTTTGGCCCACAGCCCGTTGTGGCCTGTTGTGCTTGTTTCAGGTGCATACTCTTGTGCCTGAATTTGCTAGCTTCACTCACATACCCTTGCCCCTCTTTTGTTCGCTTCACTCACATACCCTTGTCCCTCTTTTGTTCGCTTCACTCACATACCCTTGTCCCTCTTTTGTTCGCTTCACTCACATACCCTTGTCCCTCTTTTGTTCGCTTCACTCACATACCCTTGTCCCTCTTTTGTTCGCTTCACTCACATACCCTTGTCTCTCTTTTGTTCGCTTCACTCACATACCCTTGTCCCTCTTTTGTTCGCTTCACTCACATACCCTTGTCCCTCTTTTGTTCGCTTCACTCACATACCCTTGTCCCTCTTTTGTTCGCTTCACTCACATACCCTTGTGCCTATTTTTGCTCGCTTCACTGCCACTTTTGCTCGCTTCACTGCCTCTTTTGCTCGTTTCTCTGCCCCTTTTCCTTGTTTCACTGCCACTTTTGCTCGTTTCACTGCCACTTTTGCTCGTTTCACTGCCTGAATGCTAGCTTCAATCACATACCATTGTGGCCCTTTTGCTAGCTTCACTCACATACCCTTGCGCCTCTTTTTGTTCGCTTCACTCAAATACCCATGTGCCTATTTCTGCTCGATTCACTGCCACTTTTACTCGCTTCACTGCCTTGTTTCACTCGCTTCACTCACAGACCTTTGTGCCTTTTCTTGCTTGTGTCTCCGTGCATGTGAGCAGCGCACAGCAGTGGAGGTTGCTGCTGCTTAAGCCCACCTGACACGGTATCCATCCCACCTGTTCATTCCACTCAACAAGTCATGAGGCGCCCAACACATCGCTGCCACATACGGCCTGGCAGCATGGCAGAGCCGTGATGAGAGTACGTTTATGCGAGAAGTGGGTGCCTGCAGACGAGGAGGGAGGGAGGAATGGAGGGTGACGAGAGAAGCAGCAGACGTGATATGACTTACGTGTACGAGTGCATTAGCTGCACGCTGCTCATATGCTGAACGCAGGGGGCTTTTCGTTGCACGGAAAAATATGTAAGAGGTGCACGCACATGGCATCATCACATGCCATGAGTGCGAATGGTTTTCCAGCTGAAGGCAGGAAGGGCAACGTGCCAAAACGGAGGTGAGAGAAGCCAAATAGGTGCAGGAATCTGAATCTCTTGTTCACGCTATCTCTCGTACTTCATTCATCCATTTTGCTGGTCGTCCGTCTGTCCTTTGCTCCCAATATGTTGCCTTTGACGCGAATTTTCTAGTGGAAATATGAGTGAGCAGCAGTACTTCTCCAAATGCAAAATCATCAGCTCTTTTCCGCTCCCCCTCCTCATGCGGCTGTGCGTTCCTACTCTTTGCCCTTCCCCCCACCCACTCTCCCCCCACTCACTTCCCCTCCCCACGCCAACAGCACCTGTCTTGTGCTAGCTGCAAGAGCAAGAGATGGGGATACGGAGTGGAGAAGTTGCATTTGGTGAGAACTTGCTCCAAAGAAAGGGAGACTGAGAAAGGCGATAGAGTTGAGGGTTTTGTGAGGGGCAAGCCATAGGGGAGGAAGCAGAAGAGGGTACAAACAAGGGAGAAGTGGAAGCAGTAGGAGGTGAAGGAAGAGAGAAGGAGGAAAAGAGTTGAGGAGGAGAGAAGTCGGAGGGAGTGAAGGAACAGAGGAGGTGTTGGTGATGGCGGCAGGTGCTGGCGTGTCCAACAGAGATGTGTCGAGACCGCAACAGTTGCAATGCATGCTGCTTGTTAGTACTCCTGCCATGATGGCTCCCTCCGTTGCGCCTTTGCCCACCCGTGAGAAGCGTCAAGGGCAGCTTCAAAACCATTTTCCACGGACAGGTGGACGAGTGGCTGGGAGAGCTGGTACGTGGCAGCAGGAGAGAGGTGGCGGCGAAGGTGCTTCACACGGAAAGCATGAAGGCGTTTGATGACTGCCCGGTGAGGGGAGAGTGAAAGGAAGGAATAAGTAGGGAGGGGGGGGGGGGGGGGGGAATTGAGCAAAAAAGAGGGGAAAGACGGAGGAAGAGGGAAGTGGATGGGCTCGGGAGAGGGGCGCTGAAGGTGCTTCATACTGACAGCGTCAAGGCGCTTGACGGCTGATTGGTGAGAGTCGAGAGCGGAATGAGTGAGTTGGGAGGAGTGAGGCAAGGGAGGGATGGACGTGGGGAATTGTGTGGCCGTAAACGTGCTTCTCACTGAGTGACAGCGTGAAGGCTTTTGATGAATCGTGACTTTTGGAGGCGCCTAAAAAATCGTTTGATGAGTCCTGACTCTCTGGCGCGGGGCGAATGAAAGGAAGGAGTGAGTAGGAAGGCGTGAGGAGAGTGAGTGAGTTAAGCGGGGAGAGAGAAGGGGGAAGAGTTACGGCTTGAGGGAACGGAAAAGGGGGGGTGGAAGATGCCTCACTCAGACAGCGAAAAGGAACTTAGCTTGGCGAGAGGCGAGAGCGTAATGAGTGAGTAGGGAGGAGTGAGGCAAGGGAGGGATGGGCGTGGGGGAATGCGTGAAGGCATTTGATGGCTGCCTGGTGAGAGGCGAGCGCGTAAATGAGTTTTAAGTACAAGGGAGTGAGGCAAGTGAGCTAAAGAGGGGGGAGAAGGGGGAGGGGGGGAAGAAGGGGGCTGAGGGAACGGAAGAGGGGCCAGCACAGGTGCTTCACACGCGTGATATTAGCAGGTATATTTGTGGGGTGAACAGGGAAGAAATAGGGGGGAGGGGTGGAGAGGGATGGAGGAAGGGGTTTGAGGGGAAGGGGGAACAATGTTGAAGTAATCTGCAGCCTTGGTCCCTCACCTTGTGTTTTGAACCATCAATGTATCATCAACTGCGTTTTGAGATGCCTGACAGGTTTCTTATATATTCCTTCTAGTGACTATAAAGGGAGTTACAACGCTATTGGTAAGTGTGGCACCCACGACCTCCTCTCGCTCCTTTCTTCCTTGCACACTGCGCATCTACTGTCTCACAGTGCGGCTGCTAGGGTAACGCATGGAGGACTGCACTGATGTGCTCCTCTCTCCCACCCTCCCATTCCCCTTCCTTCCCCCCCCCCGCACTGCACGTACCCATTCCTTTCCCTGTCCTCCCACCACAGGCGGAGATACTAGTGCTGGGCAATGTGAACCATACAAACCACCCTAATCCTAGTGCGCTACTGGGTCCTGCATTGAGATCGACCAGGCGGGTCTGTTGTATGAGCTGGCGGAGAGGGGAAGCCTCCACCACTGGCTGCACTCCAACAGTGAGCTTCCACTCTTGTGCGTAAGAGGAAGAAGAGGATGATGAGGGTGGGGGAACGTAGGTTGACTGAAAACAGTTCTGGTTTACGGCCCGGGGAGAGAGGAGATGGTTACCGCTGGTTAGGGGGATGGGGAGGAAGGTGAAACGCGTGACAGAAATGGAGAAGGTTACGGGGAAAGTTCAGCAGTTCTTAAGTTACAGCTTGAATTTTGGACTGGGAAAAAAAAACATAACGAGCAATAATGGTTTCCTGTGCCAGCCGGGAATCGAACCCGGGTCTGCACCGGGCTCATGGCAGGGTGCTATTCTACCACTAGACCACTGGCACGCGTTATGATGGATATGGTATGTGCCTGGTCATAAAATCGGATGTTTGCGGGCTTCATTTGGCCTGAAATTGTTGACAGGCTGGTCATGCCGAGCCGATGCCCTCATTGGGAAACATTTGGCCTGCATGGTGCCAGTCAGCATAGTGCCAGGCCGCATCGTCGGGGGCTGCATAGTCAGGGGCAGTGAGGGGCCGGTTCACGCTGAGTTGATGCCCTCTTTGGGAAACAACTGGGCTGCGCGGGGTTGGGGCATGGTGCTGGGATGCATGGTGCTGGGATGCATGGTGCTGGGATGCCCCCTGTATCCCCTTCCCCTCCCCCCAGCTTCCTCTTTCCCTCCCTTCCCCTAACCTTTCCCTCCCCTTTCCCTCCCCTTTCTCTCCCCTTTCCCTTCGCCTGCCCGTCCCTTCCCCTTCCCCACTCCTTTCCCTCCCCTCCACCCCCATCCCCTTCCCTCCCTTTCCGATCCCCCTCCAATCCCCGCCCCCCTGGTGTCTCACGTGTCTACAATTTCACGTATTTGAACTCCAACCCCCACCCCACCCTCAACCACACACCATCCACCTCAACCTCTCAAACCCAACCTTCCCTCCACTGTTTACTTGACCGCAACTCACTTCCAGTCATTTTGCAATGCTCATTCATGCCCGTCTTTCTCGGCTTGGGATTCATACTTCTCTGCTCAACCAGTGCAGCCTTAGCATGAGTTGTTGCACACCAAGGCGAGAACCACTCCCTCAGCGTCCAACAATGGATGGCCAGTCCATGGATCTTGTGACAATTACAAGGCCGTTGATGCAAACCCCACCCATCGTAGGACATTGTAGGACATAAGCGAAGAGATTGAAGGAAATCTGTATCGTTCGAAATGGATGATTTAATCATGGGGAAGGGTCTTCTTATTCCCCTACGCCACAACCCTATTACACTTTTTCCCCCCTGGCAGGAAATCATTTTTCCCTGCCCGCTCCAGCGAATTTTCACGTATTTCCAAATGGGACAACTGGAGATTGGCGCTTATACGCTTGCGCATTATACGAGAAACGCGAATCTGCCAACGTAGCCACTCCCCTCCCCACTCCCCTCCCCCCTCCCCCCTCCCCTCTCCCCTCCTACCATTCCCCCCCTCTCCCCTTGCCCTTCCCCTCCCCTTTCCGTCCCCTTGCCCTCCCCAGCCACGCGTGGTGGGAGTGGAGGAGCTGCTACTCAGCACACCTGTCACATGCAAGCAGTGTGTGTACGTGCTGGACATTGATCAGCCACACATGAGCGGACGATGCCCTCAGAATCTCCTCCGATCCGATGTGCTGAACTGACCAAGACAGAGCGCCACTGGAGGCCACGGGTGTGCTCGTGTGCCTCGCCACGCGTATCAAGGAAGGAGGCCACAATCATGCCTACGTTGCTGCAGCAGGGAGAGCCTTGAAGATAATGTGAGTGGGGTTTGTGAGTCATGTGCTGCAACGGAAAATATGGGGCCATTTCATATGGATGTGAGGGAGCATTGATTTGATTGGCAGTGTCGGCCTTCTCTACCAGCTGTCATCGCTCCCCTCTTATCACCCTCACTTTTGATGGACGAGAATTATGTCGACATGCGCGCGGTAGAAACAACACGAAGAATGGATTTCACAACCACGTGAAAAAAGGAGTGTTTTGAGACGTCTCAAAACACGAAGAATGGATTTCACAACCGGTGGCCCGCCACAGAAAGCAGCTCTCCAGGCTGTCCGTGGCTCCTGTCTGCTCCTGGTCCAACTTCTTCTCCCGTACATACACCCAACATACATGCACACACGCCTGCATGTAACATACGACACAATTCTCGTCCAGCTGCGGCGGCTCTGGCTTCTTCACGGCAAGCTGTTATGTCGGAGATCTCCTCTTCCTCACTTCATCCCTTGGCTGCTTCTTCCCTGGACCTCTTACCCTTCTTCTTCATGTACTTCCCTGCTTGTCTGCAGACTCTGCCTGCTTCTGCCTCAGCCACTACCAGAGAGGCTCCTGCTCCCACAAGCTGGCTGCCCTCAGTGGCGTATCACCTAGCTGCCGTAGCCTTAGAACGGTGAAATGAATCCACTATAGTAGGCAAACAAAACGAGAGAACAGGTTCTAGTGGCTAGGCTAGGCTACTTTATTCCCTACCCAGAGTCACGCCCATTACCATGGCCTTGGGCTGGGTTCGGGCGCCTTATGCCTTACTGGTCGCTGCAGATTTCCTGCTCCTCGAGGCGCTTGTTACTCCCCTTCCCAATGTCCCAATTCCCCATGCTACCACTTCGTGTCATTCCCCTGAAGCCCAACAACCCCTCCGTAAGGTTGCATAACCACAACCTACACCCTGCTACACCAACTCTAGCGTATAACCAAATATATTGTTCTTTATCACTATATTTGGTGACAATTATCACCCTTACCTTTGATGTCACAATCCCCTTCCCCTTCCCCCTCCCGCTTCCCCCCCCTCCCCCCCTCCCTCCCCAACAGCACACACTTCTGTCTGACCTTCACTCCACTCCCCATTTCGCACCCATTCTCCTCCCCTCCTCCCGTTCTGCGCGCCCTCCCTCCATCTTCCTTCTCATATCAGCTCGACAACTGCTTCAACTTACACATGCCTCGAATCACCAGCTGGTGATCCACGGAACGGAGTTGTTCACTTACAGTAGAACGGAAACTTGACTACCACCGCCTAACCAACTGGGTCCCTGCAGCTGCATTGACTTGCACATGCATCAATGCAGGGACAGTGCAGCAGATCATTTTGCATCTCAGGTGTGAGTGGAGCTGTTAGTGTGGCAGTATCATTGTAAGAGATTATTTATCTCCTACCTGCCTCCTGCATGCCCGTGAATGGGCCGTATGGGTGGGTGATGGAGCAGCATGTGTAGCTTCTATTTTTTTTCATGCAGGCACAGTCCCACGTCTTCTTCACATCTGCCCTCCGTCCCATCCATGGATCATACCATGCAACCCAGCGTAGCCATAAAAAAGTCCCCTGGCAAGCTGTTGCATGCATGTCTATGTTTTTATACGAATGATTGTGGTGGAACTTTTCATGCATATGCAATCGTGATTACGGCATATCAGCCATGCATTGTGGTGAATAAATTTGGACCGTTTCAAATTGGACAACAAAAACAGTGGTGCATATACTACAAGCTTCAGTACGATCCAAGCTCAATGTCACCTGTGTGCCTGAGATGTTTCATACAGCGCTGCAATCTTAGGTCAAAGCACAAGTTCATTCTACAATCTGCTCAGGCAAGCCTCATCAAGAAGCCCACTTGTCTACAGAACTTTCTTCAGTACAATCTCATGATCTCCAATACAGTACCATCATCAGCATACTCTCTTCCACCCACTCCCCATCTCTTAGCTGCCTCGCGGCAACAGTAGGGACCTCAGTTCTCACGATATTCCATGACCCTCGTGCCATCTAGGTCCAGGCTCTCAGACCCAATATTCGCCATCTCAACATTGCCCGATGGGTATTATTGGAGCAGATTGGAGTAAGGTGCAATGCCTTACAGCTCCATCACACCGTAAGGTGCAATGCCTTACAGCTCCATCACACCGTAAGGTGCAATGCCTTACAGCTCCATCACACCGTAAGGTGCAATGCCTTACAGCTCCATCACACCGTAAGGTGCAATGCCTTACAGCTCCATCACACCGTAAGGTGCAATGCCTTACAGCTCCATCACACCGTAAGGTGCAATGCCTTACAGCTCCATCACACCGTAAGGTGCAATGCCTTACAGCTCCATCACACCGTAAGGTGCAATGCCTTACAGCTCCATCACACCGTAAGGTGCAATGCCTTACAGCTCCATCACACCCTCAGCTCCATCAGCTCCTTGCAGATTTTACAGACATTACCCTCTCCTCTGAGAAGATATGTGTACACCCTGCACCCACACAGCCAGCAATTCATATGCAGCTCCCCTCATGCAACCACGCAAGACATAATCACCCCTGCACGTGCCCGTCGTTGCTGCTGCTGCGTGCCACTGCTGCTGCCCCTGCTGCTGCCCCTGCTGCTGCCCCTGCTGCTGCCCCTGCTGCTGTCACTGCTGCTGCCACTGCTGCCACCACTGCTGCCACCACTGCTGCTGCTACCACTGCAACCACCACTTCTGTTGCCACCCACCATACTCGCCTCCCTCACTTCTCCCTTTCCCGCCCTTGTCCCCAGCTTCCCCCCCTCCCCTCCCCTTCCCCTTTTGCTCCGCCTTGCCTTCCCCGTCAGCCCTGCTGATGAGCGTTTCCTCCTCCCATCATAAACAAAGAAAGCCAGGAAATTCCTATGCAGCTCCCCTCAAGCAGACAGTGGTCTGTTGCCCAGCCAGCCTTGCACCTTCTTCTGTCCACCTGCAAGGCACGAGCCAGTTGAGCATTCTCCAACGCTCTGCAGCATGCAAGTTGATTCGTGCATAACCACCATTGCATGCCTCACTCCTACGCATACATGCCTCCCCTCACTCTTAACACCCCTTCCCTCCACGCCTCTCCTCAGTCTCCCCTAGACAGTCTCAGGCAACTCCTCCCTCACCTCACCTCCCTTTCCAACATCACTCCCTCCCTGCCACCCTACCTGCCTATCCGCCTGCGTACAGCAGCGTTCATAATCGTACCCCCTTCTGGCGGAAAGAGAGTTGTCAGCTTGGTCAGGGCAGTCAGCAGCTGCAGCCCATCATCCGTGACTGCTGTTCCATTCAGCCAAAGTTATTCAAGCCTGGTCAGCCTCCCCACATGCACCATGCCGGCATCTGTCACACCCTTGCATTCACCAAGGCTAAACACTTTGAGAGAGAGCAGACCTGTCAAGTGTGCCAAACCAGCATCGGTCACCTTGGTCCCCCAGAGAAGGAGCGTCGTGAGATTGCTCAAGAACCCAATGCCTTCCAAGGCACTGTCTGAGATGTCTGCGTGTTGGAGGTTTAGCATCTCCAGCCATGGTAGCATGTACAGGTGCTTGATGCCCTCTGCACTGAAGCCTGAGCTAGACTGCAAGTCAATTCTCGTCAGATGCGACATTGTGGACACATGGCCAAGCATATCGTCTGAGAGGCCGCAGAGATTCTTGAGGTTCATAGATGACCTGTGTGATGCTGACTTGATTGCCTGGATGAAATGGGCGGGAAGAACATGACGACTTGATTGCCTGGATGAAATGGGCGGGAAGAACATGACGACTTGATTGCCTGGATGAAATGGGCGGGAAGAACATGACGACTTGATTGCCTGGATGAAATGGGCGGGAAGAACATGACGACTTGATTGCCTGGATGAAATGGGCGGGAAGAACATGACGACTTGATTGCCTGGATGAAATGGGCGGGAAGAACATGACGACTTGATTGCCTGGATGAAATGGGTGGGAAGAATATGACGACTTGATTGCCTGGATGAAATGGGCGGGAAGAACATGACGACTTGATTGCCTGGATGAAATGGGCGGGAAGAACATGACAAGGGGATGGGTGACCACAGCGATAAGGAGAACTAGCAAGCAACGCATGCCCTAACCTGCCATGCAGCCTCCCGATCGCCTTTACTCCGGCTGATTTCCAACTCGATATTCAACTTCAGGTCTTGTATCATCTGCCGTTCCTCACAAGCCGCCAGTTCCTCCGTGGCACGTGGCTGACTCAACTCCTGCACCTCCCTCCTCCACTCCTCCTCCCGTGCACACTCCGATGTCAATTCTTGCCGTCTCTTTCTAATTCTCCCTCTCAGGCCTCCTACATCTGATGCCCTACTGCTCTCAGCTATTTTCTGCTTGTATTTCGCCAAATCTCCTTTCACCACAGCCAACTCCCCTTTCACCACTTCCAACTCCCCTTTCACCGCTTCCAACTCCCCCTTAACTACTGCGAACTGTCTGTCCCTTTCCTCCACCACATAAGTTGCCTCGTTCCTCTCCTCCACAGCAGTCAGCATGTGTCGCAGCTCATCCACCTCCTCCTTGTGTGCAGCCAGCTCCTCTCTCACTGCTGCCATGCCAGCACCGCCTCTTTGATCAACTCATTCACTGCTGCACCGATCGCTCTCTCAGCAGCCATATCATCCATCCACTCCTCTCGAACAGCCCTGACTGATCCCTGTGTTCAACTGCCAAAGCAGCTGACGAATAGAGAGTAGGGTTCTGTTAAGTGTGCTGGGAGAGAAGAGAAACGCACATGGAGACGAACGCACATGGAGACGAGAAAGAGGGAGGGTGAAGAATTCGCACTGAAGCAAAATCAAGCGCATGGGTGTGAGGAAAGGCGCAGGGTGAGTATGGAGAAGTAGGAAGAGACCCGATGACAAGATGGAGACATTGATTCAACTCATCTTTAAATGAAGCCGTGAGAGTTGATGCTTGATGCATTTACCTTCAATTCTTTCGGCAGCAGAACAAGGGGAGGCCAGGAGTAGGAGCAGAGGAGGCCAGATGTCAGGAAGAGCAATGCGTGCTTATCTAGTTAGAAAATCCAAGGCAGTGGGCTTATTTCCTTTCCAAGCCAAGGCAGTGGGCTTATTTCCTTTCCAAGCCAAGGCAGTGGGCTTATTCCCTTTCCAAGCCAAGGCAGTGGGCTTATTTCCTTTCCAAGACAAGGCAGTGGGCTTATTTCCTTTCCAAGCCAAGGCAGTGGGCTTATTTCCTTTCCAAGCCAAGGCAGTGGGCTTATTTCCTTTCCAAGCCAAGGCACTGGGCTTATTTCATTTCCAAGCCAAGGCAGTGGGCTTATTTCCTTTCCAAGCCAAGGCAGTGGGCTAATTTCCTTTCCAAGCCAAGGCAGTGGGCTTATTTCCTTTCCAAGCCAAGGCAGTGGGCTTATTTCATTTCCAAGCCAAGGCAGTGGGCTTATTCCCTTTCCAAGCCAAGGCAGTGGGCTTATTTCCTTTCCAAGCCAAGGCAGTGGGCTTATTTCCTTTCCAAGCCAAGGCAGTGGGCTTATTTCCTTTCCAAGCCAAGGCAGTGGGCTTATTTCCTTTCCAAGCCAAGGCATATGGCTTATCTATTTGTGTAGATCGATTTCAGAACTCCCCACCACACCTTGACATCAATGCAAGTGGCTGCGGTGAGGGTTGCTAAAAGCGGCAGTAAACGAAGAGAAATAGGCCAGAACGGGATCCAGGAGGAGGAAGGCAGCACGATGGGATGCTGTATGAGGATGCAGAGCAGCAGTGACCACAAGGCGAAGAGCTCAGCCGCATGAAATATGCAACCTCACCAACCGACTACACATCCTCACACTGGATAAACGCAGATCCTTTAATCGGTGCTTGAAATGCTTGTTTCTCCTTAAAACAGTCAGGCAGCGAGGGAAGCCTGTGCGAGCGCACAACGAGAGGACACGGGAGAACAATATAGTGAATGCCATACCACAAGTGGGCAAGGGAGGGAGCGCGGCTTGGCCGTTTGATGTGTCCTTTGAGCCGAGACGGAGGATTTCTGAAGCCGACGCTCAGTGTGGCTTGGAATTCAATTCGGCTCTCAACGAGTTGTTTGGCTTGAGACGACGGTGCTGGTCGGAAAACAGAGCAACTCGGGTCACGCTGGTGGTTTTCCATTACACACTTCTTATGGCACATCCCCTGAGCTGGCGGATTAAACCTGGAGGAGGTCGAGTCGCGATGGCGAGCATGGCAGCTTGCTGCCGACAGCCTCCTCCACCCATTACATTCGAGCCACACGTCGGGCAGGAACTTTGGTTTGCCTCAGAGGGAGCCAGGCTCGGCTCAGCTCGGCTCGGCTCGGCCATCACATAAGCAATCCAAGCCAAAGTGGGTAGCGGCGAGCCCGGTTCGGCCCGCCCATTTCTCACCCATGGACGACACGACAGAATTAGGCAATGAGAGCGTTGACATGGTTGGGAGGGGTCATTGGTGGTAAGGAGGGTGGCTCAGGTTGTTCTGGATTTACCTGGAGGGTCTGAACTAGCTACAGTTCAGACCATGTGACAGCTAAAACCGTATCATTCCTTGGTGTTCAGAGGCTAGGCCAGTCAGAAGTAGGTCAATCACAAAAATAATCACTCACAAGCTAGGCAAGTCACAAAGGTCACATACAGGCTAGACCGATTACAAACCTGGTCACTCATACGCTAGGCCAGTCACAAGCTAGGACACTCCACTCACAGGCTAGGGCAGTATAGGCTAGGTCCAGTCACGATTGGAATCAGCTGAGGCTAGGTACTCATTGAAATTCTAGTTAAAAGCTAAGTCAAGGCTAGCTCCCTCACAAGAACGAGAACGACGAGAATGACGAGAACAACGAGAACAACGTGTGCCTTGATGAGCAGGAGGGGCAGGAGGAGGAGGAGGAGGAGGAGGAGGAGGAGGAGGAGGAGGAGGAGGAGGAGGAGGAGGAGGAGGAGGAGGAGGAGGAGATGTAGGAGGAGGCCTAGTGATTGCAGGGATGTAGTAGTAGCTATTTACTTCGTGTTTGCTACTACTAAAGAGACGTGGTTCCCTAACTATGTATGATGAGAAATGAGGATTTTTGTGAACTCTAAAAATGGGAAAAACGTTTTGGTACGGCAAAAATTTGACCCAAATGTGCCATATGTGCATGTCCCCCACCCTCCCCATGGTCCTCAAAAGTTTTTTTAGGCTGCCCAAACATTTTTTTAGGCCTGCCTGGGTTTTCGTCTGATATGCGTCTAACCTAGCTGGAAATGCGTCTAGCGTCTTAGATGCTGCGTCTAGACGCAACCGTCTAAGACGCTAGACGCGTCTTCCGTCACATAGCCTCCAGGCAGCGGGTGCACTGACTACCAAGGCATTATCACCTCCCTTTGACATGCCCTCCCTCTCTGCTATGTTGCCAGCGCACTATTTACAAGACGAAACGGCTAAACCTTGTGCTCTTGGGGCAACCTGCGGGTCACAAGCATGTCAGTCTCAGGTCAGTCTCAGGTCATTTTCAGGTGAGTTTCTGGTAAGTTTCAGGTGAGTTTATGGTAAGTTTCAAGTGAGTTTCAAGGGGGATTTAGATAATTCCCAGGTGAGTCTCGAATGAGTCTCTGGACTCACTCACGCCACTTCTGTTACGCTCTGCAGCAGCCTGTGCCCTCGGGTTAAGCTGCTGGTCACAAGCAGGTAATTTGAAGGTCATTCTCAGGTGAATTTCAAGAGAGTCTCAGGTCAGTCTCATGTCAATCTCAGGTGGGGTTGAGAAAGTACCAAAATTGAGTCCAACCGGTCTGCTAGTCGAAGTGAACCAGTTTAATCGAGACGAGCCAATACCGAGGTTCATAACCGAACCCGTTCGGCAGCAGCATCTCCCGTGGATCTCAGCGAAATCTGCAATGTTCATGCACTTGGTGTCCCGGTTTCCATGTCAAACCTTTTTGTTGTATTTGTTGCGGCTCAGCACCTTAAGTTGAACCAACCAAACAGGTTGGCCCACTTTTGATCGAGTCATTTTAATTAATTTATCTATTTACTTGTTTATCTGTTAAATTTTCTTTTATTTTTATAATTACTTTTTTTCTGTAATTGCAGCTTAGTACTTTGCATTGCTCAACGTTAGTACCAGGTCGGTCTCTGGTGATTTGGCAGTGTACAAGGTTAATCTACAAAAGCTAAGTGCCTTGCTGCTAAATGCCCTGTGGTTGTGGCAGTGCTAGTTATCCCCCATACCCGTCCCAATCGCCGTCCCCATCCCCATAGCCATCAACTCCTCCCCAGGTGTGCAGAGTGTAGCCAGCAGCGTCCATCACACTGGTCCTATTCGCATATCCTGCACCAGCCCCACTGATCTCTCTCCTTCTGGCCACTCTTCCCAACACCAGCACTCACCAGGTGTGCATAGTCCAGCCAGTAGCATCCATTCCCTGCCGTCAATACACTCAACGAACACACCTATCAACGATCGGCAGGTCAGTTGTGCCATGTATCGAACCTGCCACTGCCGAATGAGGTCTGTGCTTTCATTTGTTGCCTGGCACCAACGCTTCCATTGGCGCTGTCTCTCATTTTGACCCTTTCAGTATGAGGAAGTCATTTTCTTGATCTCATTGCTCCATGACACCATGATTCCACCACCCAATTATCTCAAAACCCCATCACCCCGTGACCCATCACCCCAGAATTTCATCAACCCATCACCTATCGTCCCATCATCCTCCCACAATGACCTTGCGTTGGCCTCGGCTCTCATTGCAATAGTTGGTGGTAAACAGCTCTGGCAGGTCTCTGCCTTCCCTGCCCCCACATGTTTCCAACTCTCTTAGTTGCACACAGCACAAGCTACAAACCAGGAGCTAGGAGACAGGAGATACATAATTTCTACCATTAATCGCAAACCCACTCCCCGCACCCCCCACCTCTTCCACCCCATTAACACATGGTTCTATGGCCTGAAGCTCTCTCCACTCCACCTTGCTTGCCCATGCTCGTTCCTCCCTCCCTCCTCTGCATACCCCAATCCCCTTCCAACAACCCACACCTTTCCAGCTCTTCCAACCCATCAAGGCAGTGCGCTACAGTATGCTCCTCCCCTCGCCCTACCCCATTTCCCTCCCTCATTGCATTCCTCATTGCCTCTTCCTCCTTCTCTACCCTCCATTCCACCACCCAAAATCCCACACCTTTCCACCTCTTCCAGCGCATCATGGCAGGGCCCTATGGTGTACACTGCAGCTCTCTTCACCCTTCCTTCTCTACTGCATGCTCGTTGCTTCCCCTCCCTTTATCCCCACTCCCCTCCACTCCTGCCCTTCGTCGCACCACTTCCTAGCGCATCATGGCAGGGCAGGGGTGCAACGGATTGCACTTCCCCGTGTGAATCAAGACGGGCAAGCCTACGCATACAGCGACGTCCATCCCTTGCATTTCAAAGATTTCTTGTCATAGTCCCTCGTCAAAAGCCCCTGGCGAGTCTCCTCGTCCAAATTTATTGTCAAATTTCCTCCTTATAAGCTGCCATACTGAAATCATCTCATTGCCTCTTGCAGCATTCACAATCTTCCCCACCCCACTCACCTCCTCCCACCCCACTCACCTCCTCCCACCCCACTCACCTCCTCCCATTCCACTCATCTCCTCCCACCCCACTCACCTCCTCCCACCCCACTCATCTCCTTCCACCCCACTCACCTCCTCCCACCCCAATCACCTCCTCCCACCCCACTCATCTCCTCCCACCCCACTCACCTCCTCCCACCCCACTCACCTCCTCCCACCCCACTCATCTCCTCCCACCCCACTCACCTCCTACCACCCCAATAATCTCCTCCCACCCCACTCATCTCCTCCCACCCCACTCACCTCCTCCCACCCCACTCACCTCCTCCCACCCCACTCATATCCTCCCACCCCACTCACCTCCTCCGACCCCAATCATCTCCTCCCACCCCACTCATCTCCTCCCACCCCACCCACCTCCTCCCACCCCACTCACCTCCTCCCACCCCACGCACCTCCTCCCACCCCACTCACCTCCTCCCACTCCACTCACCTCCTCCCACGCCACTCACCTCCTCCAGTAGTGCCCCATCCATCCTTCCTACCCTCTCCAACCGTCAGCTGCTCATTATTTCAATGCTGTCGTGCTGTGCCCATCACCTCACCTCATCTCAAATGCTTTCATCCGTCCTGTGTATGAACCAACTTTCCCCCTCCACCTCAGGTCCTCCTCCTCTGCCCGCCATCACCCTCTCGTCTGCTCCCACACCATACCAGCCAAGCAGCAGCACTATTGTCATCGCATCTCCAGGCAGCATCCTTCCCTCTCTTCCACATCACCTACACTGATGTGCTGTCACCCAGTCCCCCACCTTCTCCCCCGTCCCTATGGCCCACTCCCGTCCTGTTCGGCCTATATATTTGCCTCCCCACTCTCGCTCCCAATCTCCCCTCTCCTGCACCTAGCAGTGCCATGCCCTCGCCATAATGGCATGTCCTGGAAGGAGCTGGGGCTGGAGCAGAGATGCGCAGGGGTAGAACAGGTATGGCTACAGTAGCGGCAAGTAGGAATTCAAACTAGTGGGTAGGTCCACAACATATGATGATCATTTTTTAGGAACAGCCATGCTTGTGCGTTTCAACAAGAGTGATGCAACAAATTCGCATGCGAATTCCTTTTCATAGCTCATCCCACGATGTGCATCTTATCAATCTGTTCTTTCTAGATTGTTTTCACTTTCACGTGTCCACGATGCTTGGAGGCACGTGTTGTGTTGGCTGGAAGTTTGAAGGCTGGAGTGGAAACGATCATTAGTGGCAAGATTGCCTGTTCTAGTAGGAAAAGATATTCTTGGGACAGCCTTGTCAGCACATTTCATCCCACGGCTCATCCCAAACTCCCATGGTGTTGTTTCTGAATCAGATTTGAATGCCCTTCTCTTATGCCTGCCTCTCACTGATCTCTGCCCTTCACCCTGTACCGGCATAATCCCTGTGTTTCTAGCCCTTATCACCTCCTTGTCACACCAAAGATGTCTTCTCCATACATCCCTTTCACCTCCTCCTTCCTGCCTGTTGTCTTGCCTTTTACCTTTTGTAACACCCCCAAGATGTTTCTCCAGCCCGTGTCACCCTGCATCTCTTGCTGCCTCATCCCGCTTTCCTCTTTATGGGCTCCTTATGGCACAATGGTGCGTCTGTAGACCTGCTGTGGATTATGCCTCACCGTATGGAACATGGCATACCTTATTGCATACCTCATTCCATACTACGCATTCCACTACTCACTCATCATTCTGCTGCTCCCACACCATGAGTTCCTCGCACTCTCATCTTTGCTCTTTACTCATCCCTTCCCAGCACTTACTCCCAGCATGATCCTCTTGAGCTCAGAGGGACACAGTGAGGGTGCCACACAGCAGAATGTACTTATGGGTGGAGTGTAGGGTTACAGTGAAGGGGCACTGCTGCAATTGCCTCTTCCTTCAGCAGGTAGGATACTTCAGTGGTGAGTTGTGGTGACACACGACCTCAGAGGCTATGAGGGCAAGCTGTAAGCATCACTTCAGGTGCAGCACACACTGAGATGAGATGTTCACAAGGTGCAAGTCTTCATGTCCAGCAAAACATTCAGTTCCATCTCTTCTGGAGCATCATTCCCTTTACCTATGTTGCCGTGCGCCGCCATAGAATGCCAACGGGCAAGGATGAGTGTGATGGAATGGGAGCATGCATGTCCTCTAAACATTTCCTATGCATAGATGGCCCCACTTCCTTATGATTCAACCCTGTCTGTCCCCAATTCCATCACATGCATAATGCTTTACGACAAGCCCTCTCTGAAATGAAGCCCTCAATGTCATTTGCATCCTTGTGCTCTCTAGCTTTATGGTGTGATTAATATATCCCTAGTTAGACTGTACAATATGTATACATAGGTAGTATCAAATGCTCTGGTAGTCATCGATTTGATATTTAGGTGATAAATTGTTTGTTTGGTTAATCAGGAACAAATCACATGGGAGTGTTTTTTAAACCAGCCAGCACCCTTTGAGCAAGGAGCTGCCATCACTATCATGCCTCCTTCCTAGCACAACACGCATGCATACATCCCTAGTACACTCCCCTTTATACACGACCCAAACGTAGGCCACTCTAGCTGTACAAAGAAAATGCCATTTTAAACCGGCTTGGACACTCCTCCATGTTCTCCCCTCATTCTCCACAACCCTTGCCTCCACCCCTCTTCCAGTATCACCCAAGCATGTCAAACATTATATTATATATGTTGCATTTGTGTAGGCTATAGTGGGTTAGCCTTTTGGGGGTACATTATTCTAGGGTTAGGTATTTGTACTCTCACTTGATCCCTTGGATCCGCGCTTCTCGTCTCCAGCCCAGCGAGCGTTTCCACTCGGAATTTCCTGTCCTCCGCTTGCACTCTGGCAGAGGTGGTGAGTTCTCCTCCGACCTCTTGGCAGCCTACTGTGCGGAGCATGGCATCCGCCAGTTGTTCACGCTTCCGGCCTCACCACAGCAGAATGGGGTTGCTGAGCGCCGCATTGGCTTGGTCATGGAGGTCGCTCGTACCTCCTTGATCCATGCGGCTGCCCCCCACTTTCTGTGGCCGTTTGCGGTCCAATACGCTGCGCATCAGCTTAACCTCTGGCCCCGTGTCTCCTTGCCGGAGACTTCCCCGACACTGCGTTGGACGGGAGAGGTTGGCGATGCGTCGCGTTTCCGGGTCTGGGGATCTCGAGCTTTTGTTCGCGATACGTTCGTGGACAAGCTCTCCTCCCGTGCTGTCCCCTGTGTCTTCCTTGGCTTTGTCCCAGACGCGTCTGGTTGGCAGTTTTACCACGCCACCTCGCGCCGTGTCCTGCCCTCTCAGGACGTCACTTTTGACGAGTCCGTGCCCTACTACCACCTCTTCCCCTACCGCACTACCCCGCTCCCCCCCCCCCGCCTCTCTTCCTCGCGCCAGGTGCTGCTGTGGTAGACCCCCTCCCCCCTCAGGGTGCCGCTCCCTCAGGTGTGTCCCAGGTAGACCCGGTTGAGCCTGTCGAGGTAGCTGTCGACTCTTGTCCTGCTAGGGGTGCTGAGCCTGAGCGTGCGGAGCCTGGGGTTGCGGAGTCTGGGGGTGCTGAGCCTGTGGGTGCGGAGTCTAGGGGTACTGAGCCTGGGGGTGCGGAGCCTGCGGGTGCTGAGTCTAGGGGTGCTGAGCCTGGGGGTGCGGAGCCTGCGGGTGCTGAGTCAAGGGGTGCTGAGTCTGAGGGTGCTGAGTCTGGAGGTGCTGAGCCTGGGAGTGCTACACCTGGAGGAGCTCTCTCCTCAAAACAGCTGCGTGAGTGGTACTTACAGTACTGCAGCCTCAGGAGAGGTGCTTCTGGAGCTAGGAGTGCTGCTGGAGCTGGTGCTCGTGCTTCCCCTCCTAGGCAGGAGCTGCCCTCTCCCCAGCGGCTCCGAGAGTTGTACGCACGGCGCTGCAGTCTCCGGAGTGGCTCTTCTAGTATCGCGGACCCTGGTACTGTAGGTGCTGCTGCTGCTGGCGGTGCTGTTGGTACTACTGGAGGTGCTGCTGGTGCTAGTGCTGCTGACGCTGCTGGAGGTGTTGCTGGTGCTGGTGGTGCTGCTGGTGCTGCGGACCCTGGAGTTGGAGCTACTGCTGGTTCTGAGGACACGGGCGTTGGAGCTGCTGCTGGTGCTGCGGACCCGGGCGTTGGAGCTGCTGCTGGTGCTGCGGACCCTGGAGTTGGAGCTGCTGCTGGTGCTGCGGACCCTGGAGTTGGAGCTGCTGCTGGAGCTGCGGACCCTGGAGTTGGAGCTACTGGTGGTGCTGAGGACCCTGGCGTTGGAGCTGCTGCTGGTGCTGCGGACCTGGGAGCTGGTGCTACCGGTGTAGCTAGAGACACTTGAGCTGGAGTTACTGGTGGTGTCTCTGCTGGTTCAGGAGGCGCTACGCGGCCGCGGCCGTACTTCGTTCCGCTCCTTCAGCAGGTTCTTGGTCAGCCGCCTCCTCCTAGTCCTTCTCCCTCCTTTGAGTGTCCTCTGCCTGTCCAGTCGCAGTCACAGTTACCGCCTGCCTCGCCTCTCCCTGGTCCTTCTCCTTACACTGGTCCGACAGGCGGTCTTACTGAGCGTCGTGAGCCTGAGTCTCGTCCAGTGTTGCCAGAGTCTTGGTCTGCATCGCCTGTTCGTGTTGCTCGCACTGGTCGTCAGCGTCCACCTGCTGTCCCAGGCACTCAGCAGATGGTGCTTCGTCCTTCCACTGCTCCTCAGCGTGTCCCTCTGCCGTCTCCTCCTGCGTCCTCTCTTCTTGCTCTTGCTGACCCGGAGTCTGACTCCCTCCGTGCTACCAGTCCTACTGTCACGCGTCTCCTCGCCACTGTTGTCACTGACCCTACCTTTGAGTCCTCTGCTGCGTCTGCTGTGGTCGCTGAGTTAGTTGAATTTGCTGCCGCTTGTCGTCTAGACTACGCCGCTAGCCTAGTTGCTGAGTCTGAGTCTGTCTGTCCTCCGTCCGTCGGGGGTGAGTGTGCTTTTGGCACGGACATCCTTGAGGACAGGCAGGAGGAGTTTGAGTGCTTTGCCGCTGCTTTACCTCATCTCGTGTCCATGCAGGTTGCCCCTGAGGGAGACCCGGATGCTCCAGACATCCCGACCCCATGCTCTTACGCTGAGGCGGTCGCGTGTGAGTACTCCTCTCAGTGGCAGACAACCATGGACTCAGAGATGGCTTCGGAAGTCCACAGGCACCTACGTCGACGAGGTTCCCCCACCTGGGGCGAACATCGTCAGTGGCATGTGGATTTTCAGGGTGAAGCGGCCGCCGGGTTCTCCGCCTGTCTTCAAGGCGCGTTACGTTGCACGAGGCTTCAATCAGCGAGAGGGAGTTGACTTCTTCCAGACCTTCTCCACGACCCCAAAGATGACCACTCTTAGGGTTCTGCTGCACGTCGCCGCTCAGCGTGACTACGAGCTCCACTCACTTGACTTCAGCACTGCTTTCCTACAGGGCAGCCTGCACGAGGAGATCTGGCTGCGCCGCCCACCTGGCTTCACTGGGTCGTTCCCTCCTGGTACCCAGTGGAGCCTCCAGCGGCCAGTCTACGGTCTCCGACAGGTGCCGAGTGAGTGGCACGACACACTGAGGACTACACTTGCGGCTCTTGGGTTCGCTCTTTCTACTGCTGACCCGTCGCTGTTTCTACGCACCGACACTTCGCTGCCGCCGTTCTACAACCTCGTGTACGTCGATGACTTGGTCTTTGCCACTGCTGACACTGCGGCACTCGCCCACATGAAGTCGGAGCTGCAGAAGAGACACACGTGCACAGACCTGGGTGAACTGACAAGCTATATTGGCTTGCGGGTCACCCGGGACAGAGCACGGCGCACCATCACCTTGACTCAGTCACACATGGTGCAGCAGGTCCTTCAGCGCTTCCGCTTCACGTACTCCTTGCCTCAGCCGACTCCTGTGCCTAC